CTTGTTGGTGTTCTTGTTGGTGTTCTTGTTGGTGTTCTTGTTGGTGTTCTTGTTGGTGTTCTTGTCGGTGTTCTTGTCGGTGTTCTTGTCGGTGTTCTTGTCGGTGTTATTGTCGGTGTTCTTGTCGGTGTTCTTGTCGGTGTTCTTGTCGGTGTTCTTGTTGGTGTTCTTGTTGGTGTTCTTGTTGGTGTTCTTGTTGGTGTTCTTGTTGGTGTTCTTGTTGGTGTTCTTGTTGGTGATCTTGTTGGTGTTCTTGTTGGTGTTCTTGTTGGTGTTCTTGTTGGTGTTCTTGTTGGTGTTCTTGTTGGTGTTCTTGTTGGTGTTCTTGTTGGTGTTCTTGTTGGTGTTCTTGTTGGTGTTCTTGTTGGTGTTCTTGTTGGTGTTCTTGTTGGTGTTCTTGTTGGTGTTCTTGTTGGTGTTCTTGTTGGTGTTCTTGTTGTTCTTGTTCTGGTTCTCGTTCTCGTTCTCGTTCTTGTTCTTGTTCTTGTTCTTGTTCTTGTTCTTGTTCTTGTTCTTGTTCTTGTGGTTTTGGCTTTGTTGTGATTGTTGTTCTGGTGTACAGTGCAAGTGTTTGCTCAGCAACCCCAGCCTAGCCACCCAGCTTTGACCCCAAGATGGATTGGGCCGGAAGGGGTAACGCTTCATGGAGGGAGGGGGGGGGACGAGCGATTGAGGGGAAGAGGTTGGGGATGGGGTGAAGGGGTCTGGGGGGTCTGACCGCTTCCCGGCTCTGGGGGCCAAGGCGAATTAAATAATCGTAGTCGTTTGGGAGGTCTTGCACGATTTTGTAGTTGGAGGAGCAAGTTCACCAGGCAGGTGTTTTCAGCAAGTTTCTTTGAGCAAGTTCTCTGAGCAAGATATCAGCAAGTTCTGCGAGCAAGTTCTCTCAGCCAGTTTTTTTTCAAGCAAATTTGTCTGAGCTAGCTCTCTGAGCAGCTCTCTCTGCGAATCCTGCAATTTCTCTGGGCAGGTGTTCGCGCAAGCCAGCGCAAGCCAGCGGCAAAGCTCGCGATGTTGTTGGCAAAGCGAAGAAGACCATACACAATTTCAGAAGAGACGTAAAGAACATGACGGGTACATGTTGCTAATGCGGAAGGCATGACAGCGGTCAACTTTTTTTGGCGCAAACTCAAATGCAGAAATTGAGTTCTGCGGGCGCCACAACGAGGTTGCTCTTTTTGTCGCATAGACACAACAACACATTCAGAAGGCATGCACAGTCCGCAAAGAACACGCCAACAGTATAATTCAGGCCACGGAAGCCCCACCGCAGTTCCTTTCTCAGCAAACCACCACTGGCATGCCATTCCGAATGCGTCTGGGGCCACTCTATGAACACAAAGAGATGATACAAAAAGGGAACAGACATGAAAAGACCATCTCTATTCATCTATCGGCCTTGTGTGCCTTTCCAAAGCAGGCGACGGATTTGTGTGCACGCAAGCACTTCGAACGTGAGATGAGATCAATGAATTTAAGCAATTCTTCAGAGAAGACCGTGTGGCCGATCACGTCGCATGCTATCGCAAGGTCGGGATACTTCACATCCAACTGGTCCTGAGCCATTTGGCGACAGAGACCTTCACTGCTGAAGAGGCCGTACCACATGCTTTCCTGTTCAGGTGCCGGTGTTTACAGACTGAGAAATACATCCTGGCAGGAGCGTCTGGAGCAGTTCTTCTCGTTTCAGCTTAAAACCTCCCGGAACATTGATGCAGACTGGCCACCTGTTTGCAACAATGCACGTGTGTTCTTCCTTACCCTCTTCCACCTTGAGCCACAAAGGTAGGAAGAGCTTGCAGACATAAATTGACTGATGGTCGACAGTTGCTTTGCTTTGTTTCTTTGTTGAAACCCCATGTGCTTAATCTGTTCACACCAAATGCTGTTTTCTGCTTCATGCATGCAGCTGAAAAGTGGTCGTGTCCAGGTATGATCACTGGTTCCACGGTGGCCTGGAGTGCCGACCTCAGTGACAGACAGCAATTTCCAGTTGATTGATAGGGGTGTGTTTCTGGGTGTAGTCGGGATTCATCACTTTTGGAGGGGTTTCCCACCCCCATATAAATCACCTGGGGCTGATGAATCTGGGGTCAATATTACACGGCGGCAGTCAGCCGCAACCGCTTCTGGCTTTTTGGGTTAGTTTGGCTAAGAATAGATGGCACTGGTTTGGATGGTTTTTATTCCCCATTTACCAGGGAAACCCATCGATCTTTCCCAAAGGCCACCTTGCTTCTGAACCGCCAGTGGGCTGAGGTTTCAAATCGAGCATCATTTGTTCCCCCAGCTCCCGCGCCACAACCTGGAGAAGGCAAGGGGCAGCTGTCACAAGCCGCAAGTTGTTCTTCGGGCCTTCTTTTCAAGCTGGAGCAGGGTGGGATCACGGGCTGATCCAACCACTTCTGTGATACAAGGGAATCCCTTCGTTATATGGGGGGATAGTCTTTGGGAGGCCCCTTTTTTGTTCGTTTTGTTTGTACCACGGAGGTAGTCATTTCCCACAGCCCTGGGCCGGAGCATATGCCACGCTGCCTTGGGAATTGCTCCATTTGTTTTTTACTCACACACTGGATTTTTCGTAAGTCACCTTTCACTACTTTTTACGCGCAAAAGACTCGGAGGTCAAGCCATTCGTCATGGAGATCTGCCAACGACACGGCATACCCTATAAATCCACAAGCTTCTCCCTCGCACTTACAGAGGTGTCCTGTCTGCAAAGATGAAAAGAGCAATGGCAAGACATGAGTCGCTTTTTGTGAGTGCTTTCTGAGTCGCTACAAGACCCAGGTTCTGAAAGACTTCCGCGGGCTTGCTGCGGACATTGTTCAGCTGAGAATGGGCTAAGACAGCACGATGATGTGAGCGAAGACTCAGATCATCCCATGTACCATTTTGCACAGTCTGGCAGCCTGTTCATCGGGAGGTCAGCTACACTTTTTGCAGTGCGACATGCGGTCGTTCCTGGCACCGGATGTTTTGGTCACTTGCCTGCTTTCTCTGCACCATAGCAGGCCTGGGCTTCAAGCCAGGATGTTGGTGGCGACTCTTCGTCTGGTTTGTAGACGAGGGTTCTGACAAGTCGCTCCATCGGTTCTCCTGAGCCTCAGCATGGCTTCACCCTTTCACTCTGGGCCCCCGGCCCAGCATTTTGCGCCACAACTTTGCAGTTGCTCTGCCAGAGGCAAGCAACAAGCTTGCTTCAAAGACGTGGGAGCTTGTTGCAGCCAGGAAGCCGCGGGCAAACTTTAACTCGTGATTCTGGGCTTTGAACGGCTTCATAAGAGCTCAGTTTTCGTGCCAATGGTCTTGCTGTCAAGCGGCATTTCGACCAAGCCAGTCAATTAGAATTTACGGGTGGCCGACCTGTGAGACATGCAAGACCTGATGCACCTTTGTCTGTACTCGTTTGGAGTCGGACAAGTACTTGACTAATGCTGGGCTTTAGAGCCAACGTTTCGATATAAACTAAACCCGACCACAGGGTGAAACAAAGAATCGAAAAGAACAAACATATATATATATATATTAAATATATATATATAATATTACATAAGAAAATAATCTAATATATATACATAGATATATTATGTTCGAAATTGAATTATATATAATATGATATAAACAAATCTATGTTTATATATTAAAATGCTTCTTAATGGTCGCTCGGGCAATTTGGTTTGGTTTGTTTTTAAGGCATTTAGAAAAACATATAAATTTGTATTTTTTTCTTATATATTGGTATGGTTTCGAGGTCGTATCTTTTATAAATTGGTATGTTGTTATAGTGGTATTTCGGTTGAATTAAAATATTTGTAATGAATGATTATGCTTGTGTTTTTTTTTCCTTTTGTTCTTTTTGTGGCATAAATTTTCGTTACTTCGTACGGCCCGGAAGATTCCGAAATTTGTGGGAGAATTCTTAACAAATTCTCGTGATATAAGTCCATTAATTGTTTTTTTTGAATTGTGGATCGTTGTCGATGTATTTTTGCTTCTTTTTGTGTGTTTTAGTTTGTTCGTGTGTGTATATTTGTTTGTGTTTTTTTATTTTTATTTGTTTGTTTCTTTTTCTCGTTCTCTCTGTCTTTCGGGTTGTCTTGGTTTGTTTTTGTTTGTCTCTTTTTGTGTTCGTGTTTGTCGTTTGTTTTTATGTGTTTGTGTCTTTTTGTGTTTCTTTGTTTATTTTCGTATGTTTGTGTTTGTTTATGTAATAATGTTTATTTATATTTATTTTTATCTTTTTTTTTTTTTTGTTTGCACTTATTTTTGCAGGTCGATTCACAAAGATGATATATTTCCGTCCATTTGTCTGTTTTTCTTTTTGCTTCTAATCATTTCTATTATTGTTTTTGTTTGCTTAGCTCCCTCTTTCTCTCTCTTTCTCTTTCTTTCCCTTTCTTTCTCTCTCTTTCCTTCTCTCTCTCTTTCTCTTTCTCTTTCTTTCTTTTTCTCTCTCTTTCTCTCTCTTTCTCTCCTTTTCTTTTTCTCTCTCTCTCTCTCTCTCTTTTTCTCTCTCTCTCTCTCTCTCTCTCTGTCTCTCTCTCTCTTCTCCCTGGGCATTGGTTAATCTCTCCCGGGGCCGGAGATTTCTTTGGGGAGCTATTGCCTCCATTTCGTGCATCTCCGCTAACACCAATTCCTCCTGTCATGGGTCTCTCTCTCTCTCTCTTTCTTTCTTTCTTTCTTTCTTTTTTCTCTTTCTTTCTCTCCCTCTCTTTCATTCTCTCTTTCTTTATCTTTTTCTTTTTCTTTCTCTCTTTCTTTTCTTCTCTTTCTCTTTTTCTCTTTTTTTAGCTCTCGTTCTTTGGTTTTTTTTCTTTCTGTTTCCCTATTTTCCTTATTTTTTTTTTCAATTTTACCTCTAATTCTTTCTTATTCATTTTTCTTTCTCTTTTTAATTTGTTTTTTTAATATCATCGTTAATAGAATTACCGGGGTTTTCTAATTTTCCTATAAATCAATATAGCCTCGATTCGGAACCGAAAATATCCTTAGCAGAATTATTGTATTTCATTTCCATCAATAACAATTGTTCTTACCATAAATATATTTCTTTTTTTTTTTATTTTCTTTTTAATTATCTTTCTTTCTCTCTTTTTCTCTCGTTCTTTTTTAATAATTTCTTTCTCTTTATTTATAATTGTTTTATTTAGTATTATTAACCTTTTATATATCTTTAATTTATTCTTTTTTTTTTTTCTTTTTCTGTTTTTCCTTTTTATTTTTTTGTTAATAATATTTTTTTTGTTTTTAATATATTATATAATTAAATATATTCAATAACCTTATTATCCTTATATATAACAATTCCCCTAGTAAAAAATATCAAAAAATCATAAAACATATCAAAATATATATTCTATAAATAAAATATTTATAATAAATAATAATATACATATATTTTATTTCTCTATATTTTGTTCCTTCTTCCTATCTCTTCCATATTCCTTTCTTTATATATATATATATCTTTCTTTTTTACCATATTTCTATATTAAATATAGTATAATTTATCAATTATATTTCCAATATTAAAAATATATATATTTTTTTTGCTTAATATATATTTATTTATTATAACAAATCCTCTCTAATTAATTTTTTTGTTTTTCCCATATATAAAGCGATTACAAAAAGGGTTTCAATCATTAGGTGTTATTAGACCCCGTAATGTTCCATGCATGTTTTTCTTCCGCAAATCAAATTCTTATATAGGAATGCACCAAACGCGCTTTTTTTCCAGCCAGAGCCGCAGGAACGCGCTTCACGTGTTACTTCTACGCTTTCCAGCTGTGATTTTCCCGCTGGCCTGGCGCAAATCGAATTTAAGCTGCGGCTACGCGATTACAATAGCAGTCGCGAAGCCTCTTCCAGGGACCAACGCGGCAGCAAACATCTTTTCAACCTATTTGGGCTTGCCAAAGGAAGTTTAGAAGGAAGCTCCGTGTTAAAAGGAACTTCCGTGTTGTGGGCACTCATTCAGAGGTATGGCGGCCCGCGGCCTTAGTTGCGACGCCTCAGATGACGGCCGCAGATAGGCGCAAACGGTCTCAAAAAACGCGACCCGGGCCCATTGCCACGGACACGTGCGCTTTTCGCGTGACAGGCGCAGCGCTTTGGCAACCTAAGATGCGCAGCGCGCACAATGCTTTGGCAGCCTGAGGTGCAGATTTCGTGTCAGGCGCAGCAATTTTGCAAGGATAGGTACGAAGTTCCTGGCAGGTGCAGCACTTTCGCAAGGTGCGAATTTCGTGGCAGCACAGCACTTTCGCAAGGTCGAGCACAGATTTCATGGCAGCACCTTCAGAAGATAGACAACTAGATTAACGAATAGATAGACAGATAGATAGACAGATAGATAGATAGATAGACAGAAAGGTAGATACATGGATAGACAGAAATATGGAAATGCAAATGGGTACGATATGTAGGTTGTTAAGTTAACAGACGGAAAGATGGAGAGCCAGCTATAGCTAGCTAGCTAGCTAGCTAGATAGATAGAAAGATAAATAAATAGACAGACAATTAGATAGAGAGATAAACAAACAGATAAATAAATCGATAGATAAAGAAGTAGATGGATAGATGAATAGATAGCTACATAGCTAGATAAATCGATAGATAGATGGATAGATACATAGATAGACAGACACACGGACAGATATATTGAGAGAGAGAGAGAGAGAGAGCGATGAAAGACAGATAGTAGTATAGATAGACATATCAAGAGGCAGCGAGAATGCGTGATGGAGAGATAGAGATAGGAGAGTAGGAGAGTAGGAGAGTAGGAGAGTAGGAGAGTAGGAGAGTAGGAGAGATAGAGAGATAGAGAGATAGAGAGATAGAGAGATAGAGAGATAGAGAGATAGAGAGATAGAGATAGATAGATAGCGAGATAAAGAGATAGAGACATAGAGAGATATAGAGATAGAGAGATAGAAATATAGAAAGATATAAAGATAGAAAGATAGAGAGATAGAGAGGTAGAGAGATAGAGAGATAGAGAGAAAGCGAGATAAAGAGATGGAGAGATAGAGAGATGTAGAAAAGAGAGATAGAGATATAGAAAGATAGAAAGTTAGAGAGATAGAGAGATAGAAAGATAGAAAGTTAGAGAGATAGAGAGATAGAAAGATAGAAAGTTAGAGAGATAGAGAGATAGAAAGATAGAGATAGAGAGATAGAGAGATAGAGATAGAGAGATAGAGAGATAGAGAGAAAGAGAGATAGAGAGGTAGAGACATACAGAGATACAGAGATACAGAGGTAGAGAGAGAGAGAGATAGAGAGATAGCCAGACAGCGAGATAGAGAGTTAGATAGATAGCTAGCTAGATAGATAGATAGATAGACAGGCAGGCAGGCAGGCAGGCGGAAGGGCGGGCGGGCGGGCGGGCGGGCGGGCGGGCGGGCGGGCGGGCGGGCGGGCGGGTGGGCGGGCGGAGGGAGGGAGGGAGGGAGGGAGGGATGGATGGATGGATGCATGGAGAGATATAGAGAGAGAGAGAGAGATAGATAGATAGATTGATTGATTGATAGATAGATAGATAGATAGATAGATAGATAGATAGATAATTTGGATAGACAATGGCTAGCTAGAAAGACTGCTAGAAAAATAGATAGAAAGATAGGCAGGTAGGTGGGTAGATAGACAGAAAAAGAGAAAGGAAAAAATAAAAGAGAAAGCACAGGAGACAGAGAAAAGGAAAGAAAGAGAAGAACAAGCCAAAGAGAAAGAGAAAGAGAAAGAGAGACACGGAAGGAAGAGAAACAGAAGGGGAAAGAGAAAGAGAAAGGAAAGGAAGAGAAAGAGCAAGATCTCTACAAAGAGAAAGAGAAAGAGAAAGGTAAGGGCAACTATAGCTCTCATATGTTTGAAACTTCCGGACCGGCTTTGCCGGCTCTATTGCTTTTGGTATTTTCACTGTGCTGCGATCTGATCGTATTGGATTCGGAAAATCGTCTACACACGGCGCATTGAAATCACCCGGCTTGAATCCCATATCATGTATTCGCCACCATCTCCAGGATTGAAGTATAGAGAGTCATAGCCCTGGCCGGCAAAGCGGCCTCCTTGGTACGAGGAGTCAATGCAGCGAATTGCCTGTTGAAGTGCAATTCCCCAACATCTCCTGGAGGATGTACACCAAGGCTTTTCGTACTTCACGTGGCCCACATCCACTTTCGCTTCAATCATGAAACCTTGGTGCGAGTCAACGCCAACCGCCTTCCCATAGGTAGCACCTGGGCTCAAAGCAAAGTAGATGCCACCTCCGCACCAGCCCACACGGCCCCGACGGAAGCCATGCTTCAAAATGATGGGGCCAGCATGTTTGCTGGTTTGATGATACAGCGTCTTCACATGACGACCATGATGAGAACTGTGGTGTGACTGCGATCTGAGCTCTGGTGTCTCATTGTACTCGGGCTGTGCAGCCATGAAAATTGCGAGGGAGTCCTCCGGTGACATGGTGAAGTTCTCGGCGCCATCAAGCTCCGGCGCCTCCTCCGGCCCCGTCTCGTTGATCTCCGTAGAGCGCCGCTGCACTCGCAACTGCCGCAACTCCAAGGATTGGTCGGCACACTCCTCCGGCACTTGGAGTTGCTCACAGCACGCGACTGCGAGCAGCACCACAAAAGCTGCGCGTTGCATGGCGCCGAATCGCTTTGTACACTTAAAATAGGCTTGGTGTTGAGACGCCCGCAGCAAGATGTGTGCTTTTTCTCAGGCACAGGTCGAGCAACCACTGTTGAACTGCTGCGGCAAAGCAAGCAACAGCCACGTGTTTCGAGGCAAAACCTCCGAGCTGCATTGTAAGCGAGTGCATCAGAATGCCGCCAGCCTCAGCGGTCGATTTGGGAGTGTCTTTTAGGATAGAACCCCAATGAAACCAAAAGGAAAGCCATCATTTTAAGGAATCCCAAAAGAAAGACGCAGTCATTTGCTATGCTTTCGATTTTAATTGGTCCATGGCATCCGAAAAACGACCGAAACCAATCGTACCGGACCGGACTGGAACCAAAACCGACATCGCGACGGATAATCAGCAGGGAACCGGCTTGAACAATGGAACCAGAACTGACAGAACCAAAGGGAACCAAAAAGAACCAAGCCGAAGAGAGAAATCCTTGGCAACCTACTAAGCTTGTGACAACCCCTGCGTTCAGCGACTCCACAAGCTCGGACATGGGCAAGGACACCTGCGGATAAATTAAGGCTAGTCCAATTGAGTCATGATCAAACCCTGGTATCAAAATGACCTACCCAGAACCCATGTAAGGAATTCGAAAGGCACTGCACCCATGTATGGTTGGGATTGTCCCTTACTCATCTTCATCTACCCGGGTTTGATTGTGGCCCAATTGGTACGAATATTGTGCAAAGAAAGCTGCTGGAGGTTGCTTTTTGATCATAGCTCTAGTGGATTTTTGCGCTCTTTATCTTGGCTGACTTCACAATCTGTCTTGGGCTTGCTTGAGTCTTGGAGGAGCGGTCCTGGCAATGGCTGCATCTTGCTTGTGCAGCATGATCCAAGCTGCTCCAATACCAAGTTGTTATGCACCTTTGATTGCTTTGGCCACATGAACCATGGCCGTTGCTCCCAAGGGCATGTCAATGGGCCAATAAATCGCTGTTCCAACAAACAGCAGGCTTTCTCCAAAGCCACGGAATCCAGAATTTTTTGTCTGCGACACCCTTCTCGCAGTGTAGCAGCATGTCTGTGCACTAGCAATACTCTTGCTGCTATGCAAGTCCTCTCCACTCCTGCTTTATGGATAGGTCAACCTTTTCGGATTGGGTTTCTGTCTTGGTGTTTCACGGGTCGGCACCTGCTCGCAGTGTTGCAGAAGCTCTTTCTGGACACCCTCAGCCTCGCTGCCTGAGCTGTGAGAAAGCTTGCACGCTCAGTCTCCACCCCAGGCCTACTACCAAGCAAAAGCCCCTGTGACCAGTCGACGTCGGCCTCGGGCTCTGTTGCTTTAGGCAAGCCATACAACAGGCGAGGCTGCTGCAAGTCCTGCAAAGGCCGACCCTTGGTGCTTCCAGCACAAAGGAGCAGCCCATGCCTGAGTGATGGGTTAGGTAAAATGCAGCAACCATCGCTCTTCTTTGTGCCTGCGGGAGAGCTCCAGGAGTTGCTGGCTCGTTGCATAGCGATAAGGTCTTGGCAAAGAAAAAAAAACGACACAGAGAGTCTTCGCCCGGAGCGAATGTCTGGGGAGCTGGCAATGTCCAGGCAACCGCCTGGCAATCGATTCAACGCATCGAGTGGATACTCGGAGCGCCCCTTCTCGCTGCCTGCGAAGCGTCCAGCACCTTGTAGGAGAAGGGATCCACACCTCGGAGGCGAAACAAAATGGCTGTGGGTCAAAAAAAAGTACCCAAAAAATAGGTTGCCCTGGTAAATGGAAACATGGACTAAAACCTGCGGTCCATATCCTGGTGGTTTAATTTTGACCCACACCCAAATCATCTGAAGCCCAGTTTGTCGACTTGTGGAATCTGAGCTTGGCACACTCTGCGTTGAAGACCACCCCGTCGAACTTCAGAGCTACCGCAGTGCTCAAAAGAAGGCCTTGCCGTCATTCACCACATGACTCAGGCTTCTTGCATGGACAGCTAAACAGGATGGCAAGGCCCATGTTCTCCGGATGCTTGATCTTGTCTATGGCAAGCAACCATTTGGGAGGCGAATCAAACCTCGCACCATGTCACGTATGGCACTTCGGCATACATCGCTGAGGCCGAATCTCCTCCACAGGCTGGGGATGGTCAATTTTTCCTGTTGCAAGCGGGAGCTTCTTCACCACTGTTCACCTCACATGGCGCCTATAACAAAAGCATCATCATCCACACGCTTCGCCGGCTCCTTGGGGCAGTTTTCCGCTACATGTACGTGTGCCGCACTGAAGTGTCACAGCATTCTTCTGCGTCCATGTCCTCTTTGGGGCCGAAGAGGACATGTTGCCTCAAAGCGGTGATGGAAGCATGGTCCCACAAACGCGTAGCTGCCACCCAAAATGCTGAGGAAAGAGCAACACGGTCTTTTGTACCCGAACAACTCTGTCCTCAGGCAGCGCTACTTCCCAGGACAAGCAAGCAGCAGCGATATGACATTCCATGACGCCAAGGAACTGCGTTGTATACCCCTTGCGCTTCATGGGTGTAAACCTCCCAAACTGAAAACGCACGCCTTGAGAATCAGAAGAACCCCCACCTCCCTGAATTTGAAGAACTCACCAATGGACTGCACCAGCTGCTTGCCATGAACCTGGGCGACGCACCAGGCAGCTGGTCGGTTTTGTTTCATGGAGCAAACTATCAGAGCCGGCAAAGAACGGTCAAAGGTCCAAGCAACAGCCGAAATGTCACAAACCAAAAATGGGTCAGCAACAGCTTCTCTAATCCATGGCAAAAGCGCAGGTACGCAAAAATCATCAGACTCTGCATCAGCTGCAGTCTGTCTGTCTGTCTGTCTGTCTGTGTCTGTGTCTGTGTCTGTGTCTGTGTCTGTGTCTGTGTCTGTGTCTGTGTCTGTGTCTGTGTCTGTGTCTGTGTCTGTGTCTGTGTCTGTGTCTGTGTCTGTGTCTGTGTCTGTGTCTGTGTCTGTGTCTGTGTCTGTGTCTGTGTCTGTGTCTGTGTCTGTGTCTGTGTCTGTGTCTGTGTCTGTGTCTGTGTCTGTGTCTGTGTCTGTGTCTGTGTCTGTCTGTGTCTGTGTCTGTGTCTGTGTCTGTGTCTGTGTCTGTGTCTGTGTCTGTGTCTGTGTCTGTGTCTGTGTCTGTCTGTGTCTGTGTCTGTGTCTGTGTCTGTCTGTCTGTGTGTGTGTGTCTGTGTGTGTGTCTGTGTGTGTCTGTGTGTGTGTCTGTCTATCTATCTATCTATGTATCTATCTATCTATCTTATCTATCTATATTGTCTGTCTGTCTGTCCGTCTGCCTGCCTGTCTGTCTGTCTGTCCGTCTGCCTGTCTGTCTGTGTCTGTCTGTCCATCTGTCTGTCTGTCTGTCCGTCTTGCTGTCTGTCCCTTTGTTTCTCTCAGTCTGTCTGCCTCGCTCATTGGTTTTGCCTCGAAGCAGGGGAAGGAGACGACTGAGTGGGCGACCAAGCACACCCCTCGCGCAGCGCGCGCTCTCCGTCCACCCACTCGGAGTCGAAAGAGCTCCTGCAAGCCGATCAAAGCACAGCATGGTTGAAAAACTGAATTTGAATACGATTTGCAAGGTATTCAACAAGGAAATACTTGATGACCTCGGTTTGAAGGGCTTGTCCCCTGCCCCAACCAAAACTTCCCCCCCACCCACCCCTCACCCATGTCTGCCGGCCCAAGATCCTGTCTGGCGGGCCTTGAAAGTTTCGGGGTTCGTCGGCGTCCAACTGCCCAGCCCTGAAACAAATTGAGAATTGACGAAACTCACCAAGAAATACTCTTCTTCTCTCAAAATGCCAGGCCTGCCTGACGTGTCTGAGGCTAGCCTTAGGCCCAGCCCAACCAGCGACCCGCCCAAACACGCCGCAGACCGAAGCATCGGAGTCCAGCTGCCCAACCGCAGGCCCAGCCAATCCCCCACGCCAACACAGTCGATCAAGACTGCCGTGCGCATGGGATTCCCATTCTGGCTCGCGTGCGCCCGCGCAAGTAGCCGACGCACGACTCCGAGCCATCCACACTTGATAAAAGCCCACGCCAACACAGTCGATCAGGACTGCCCTGCGCATTGATCACCACAGCTCTGCTTTGGCTGTCGAGACTTTCTGCGCAGCTTCCGCCCATGACATCCACTGCCCCAGCACGCAGCGCCACTGACTCTGGGCTCCATGACCCACTCCTGGTCCTATGCATCGCCTTGCCCTTGCCTAGGAGATTCCTGCGCAACTTCGGCCCATGACATCAATTGGTCCAACGACGCCAGAACCTGTCCATTCCTGAATCGCCACTTGACCAGCTCTGCTGCTTGCAGTCGAACCAGAGATGCTGCGCGCTCGGCTGGGCCGAGGCGGGCAACGCGCAGCGTTTACAATCACATCGTATGGCCAAACCCACTCACGCGTAAACCACGGGATCTCAAAAGGGCATCGAAAGGCAAACAGCCTTGGGAAATGGTTTCTGCCCGTTTTGTCGCCATCGCAGCCGAATCTGCGGCAAGCGGAGGTCCTTGATGGCTGGATTTCGGATGGACGCAATGTCATAAGCACCCATGCCCTCAGCGGCTGGTCCAAGCAACTTGACTCTTTGTCTGCACTGATTTGTTGGTGTCAAGTGTTCAAAGCTTGCAGGTCTGCAGCCAACAAAACCATTTCGGAGCTAAGCTGCCCTGCCTCAAGCGCAGCTTCCGGCTGGGTCAAAACCCAGCACAGACCAGATTGTTTAGTACATCTGTGGCTGAGGTGAGGGAAACCGTGGGAAAACCATCCCACAAAATGTCACTATGCATGCCTCCACGCATTTCACTGTCCACTTTCCCTATGCAGTGGAGCTGTACAGAACGCAACGACTTGACCGGAAGAACCCTTCGCAATGCTTTCGGGAAAAATGACACATCCATATGCTAGAGTGGCTCGCTGGGCGCCCGGCTGGGAACGTGAGATCCGCTTCCCAAGTGCATGGACAGCGAACACAGGAACTCACTGCCCGAGTGGCCCCCAAAAAAGTCCGAACTTTTTGCTTGCCACAACCTGCTACTCCAAAATACTACCCAACAAAAAAGCGGGTTCCGAAACAGAACCTGGTTTTCAGGAAGAAAACCTGGGTTTCAAAAAGCAGACGGAAAATACGGGTTCTTTGAGTACCAGGTAGAAATGGAACTCCCCAAAGGCATAAAGTCCAGGAACTCAGGAAGTGGTGGTCTTGCTGCTTTCAAGCACAACAGTTGCAGCGTGAATGTGGGAAAGCTTGCCAGTTCTGCCAGCAAATGGGCTCAATCGTGAGTGACCTGCGTGTATGCTGGGCTGTTCGGCTTCTCCAAATTGAACTGTGTGAGAGCTTTGCACACACAAGCTGCGCATCAGCAATTTGAACCACACACGTTCTATAGCGCATGTGCTTGCCGCTTCTGCCATGTTGAGACGCGCTTTTTATAACCTCGAAGCGCAAGTGTCAGGTGAGCGTGGTGCAACGCGGCCTTTCGCTCTGACAACCTGCCCAGCACATCTTCCGGTTGAAGCCAAACAGCTCCATGGCGCAATGTGTTCACCTCAATCCACAGTCCGATTTCAGCTTTGCCACGAACTGTTTGAAGCCCCAGTGCTGCAAATCCGATTCCTCCATTTGCTTCAGCGCCCTGCAAAAAATATGTCCAGTAGTGACAGATTCTCTTCAGAACCAAAAGGGGAAAGGAACAAAATATTCGTTTCAGCAAATGGAAGGATGATTTAGAGCGCCGTAGCAAGGGGAAGATCCGCCATCTCGTCGCGGCTCTCAGCTGAGCATTTTTTTGCCTTCGAGCAGTCGAGGCCATGGCCTATTTTCGGCGGTCACGATCGCGGCTTCGGGAGCGTTCCCGCTTCCGGTCCTGGAGAAAAAGAAGAAGCAACAATTGCATTTGTACACCCAAACAGCCACAACTCAGAGATGCTTTCTTTGAGTGTCCTTCTCCTTGTCCTTCTCCTTGTCCTTCTCCTTCTCTTTGTCCTTCTCTTTGTCCTTCTTCTTTTCTTTGTCCTTCTCTCTTTCCCGCTCTTTTGTCTTGTCTCTATCTTTCCTATCCTTCTTATCATCATCCTGTCAGCTGCCAAAAGCGGTTCGCAACCTTTCGGCCTCTGCGTGTGGTGTCCTGTTGAACTTTGGAAGAGAGATTCAAAGAGGCAAACCTTGATGGGAAGGGGGGGAGAGACAGCTGGGCCTGCAGATCAGCGACAAAGCGCTGCAGTGAGGACATCGAGGAGACATGGAACCGGGATCCTTACACTATACACCTGAACATTGCAACTTGTAAATGGTGGGTTCCCATTACTTTGGTGTTGAAAAAGCAACATGTTTAAAAGGGTTGCAAAATGTGTATCTTTTAAGGAGTCCTGTAGCAGGATGCTTCTGAAGCGGAAGTGCAAGAGAAGCCGGAAGGCAATGACACTGCACGAGCGGACAAAGCTAAATAGAGCTGCGGATAGGGCTCGATGTGCCTCGAGATGTGCCTAGAGGAGGGCAGAAGCGCTGTGAACCGTTGGCTTTTCTTGGAGCTGTTGCACTTCCTGGAGCCAGAGCGGACGGGCCTCCTGCGTTGCCTGGCTGTGCTTCTGAGAGCCAGGCTCAGGGTGTGCGCGGTCCTATGTGATTCTTATGATTCCCTTGGTGTAGATCGCAAGTCGTCCTCTGCGTCTCTGCGTCCCGGTTGCGTTTTGTCGAGGAAACGCGCGCTTGCGCGAAATGACGGCCGCAACGAATATCTAAGAGAAAAGCGAGCTCAGAGTTTGTGAGCCTGGTGTCCTAATCTGCCGTCTGAATGTAGACTGGTTTTGGTGTTTCTCTGGTGTGGGCATTTATAAGCTAGGTTGCGCAGCTATACAAACGAGGACGGCGGAGGCCAAAAATCCTGCAGGCAGAGGCATCGCAATGCCGCGCCATTCGTCGCGGGAAAACCATTGGTTGGATTGGAGGTTAGTGTCACCGCAACCCACGGAGAGAAAAGAACGGCAGAGGAGGGGCCAGGAGCTTGAGACCAATCCTAGACCAATTCCTCCACCAACCTTCAGCCAGCCCTCAACCAACCAACCCTAAACCAACCCTAAACCACCCCGAAACCACCCCTAAACCCCTAAACCACCCAGCAACTAAACCACCCCTAAACCAACCCTAAACCAACCCTAACCAACCCTAAACCACCCCTAAACCACCCCTAAACCACCCCTAAACCACCCCTAAACCACCCCTAAACCACCCCTAAACCACCCCTAAACTAAACCATCCCTAAACCAACCCTAAACCAACCCTAAACCAACCCTAAACCACCCCTAAACCACCCCTAAACCACCCCTAAACCACTCCTAAACCACTCCTAAACCACCCCTAAACCACCCCTAAACCACCCCTAAAATATCCCTAAACCACCCCTAAACCACCCCTAAACCACCCCTAAACCACCCCTAAACCACCCCTAAACCACCCCTACCCAAACCACCCCTAAACCACCCCTAAACCACCCCTAAACCACCCCTAAACCAACTCTAAACCACTCCTAAACCAGCCCAAAGCTTGTTTGAAAGCTGCTTGGTACATGTGAGTGAAGTGCAAAGCTCAACATGTTGCAGCCTCACACTTGTAGGATAGTGAGTCAGCTTTTGCAATGTGGCGTTGTCAGAGACAAAGAAAAGTTGGGAAGGCGTGTGCTGGATTGAGTCCAGATTGTGAAGAGCCGTCTGCTGCAACTCCACTTTCAGAAGGCAGCTATGACATTCGGTGCAGACCTCTTTGGACTGCTTGGGTGGTCTGAAATGCGTGTCCCGCAGCCAAAATCATATTTCTGCCGAGATGTGGATTGCCGACAGAAAAAGTCGGCCACAGCTCAAAAGGAATTCGAGCATCCCGCACATGCATGATATGTTCCTCTCCTTGTCTTTCTCCTTCTCAGCGTCCTTCTCCTTGTCCTTCTTCTTGCCCTTCTCCTCTTTCTCTTTCTCCTTCAGCTTCTCTGTCGTCTCTGCTAGTCTCCTGTTGGCAAATCAAGCTTGCCAATCGCTGTGTCTCTTCAATGGTACGGTTCCCTGCCCAAGTCTCCTCTGCTTCTTCTTTGCTGGCTTTCCTGACAGGCAAAGCAACTAGCGAAGAGTTCCAAAGACAAAAGGTTTGGGGGCTTCTGGCTGCCACTTCCAACTGGCCAAAGCGGTGGCTGAGAGAGGAGCGTCTCTAGATAGATTAGATCCGATGTAAGCTGAGACTTTACACGCCAGGGGGGCCTCTCCCTCTCTCTCTCTCTGGGTGTGTCTCTTTTCTCGGGGACCCCTCCAACATGCTGGCTTTCCTTTTGGTCTCCTTTTAAAACCAACCAAAAATTCGGGGGGCCCAAAATGCCGCGTTTTCCTTTTCGTTTCCCTAAAAAAATCATGGGGGCTGGGGGGGAGGGAGGGGCGGGGTCGGGATCTCCAACAAGCCCAGAAGAAGGCCTTAAGGGCTTAATCAGGGCATATTTGAGATCCCTCCCCCTCCCCTCCCTTTTCCCCAGTCCCCATGAAAGCTTTTGGTCTCCTTTGAAAACCAAAACTCGGGGGGGGCACCATGGCGGCTTCTCCTTTCCGTTTCCCTTAAAGGGGTCCCCTCCAAAAGACGAGCGCCCGGCCCGTCTCGCCCGCTCGCTCGCTGGCCTTGTCTGCCAGGGCCTCGGCCTCCGCCGAGCCGTCGGGGCAGCCAGCCCTCCACCGTGCGGCCGCGCTCCACGTCGACCATGACTCGCCGACCTTTGGACGACCGGGTCCACCCGGGGGGGATTCTCCGGTGTTCACTTTTTGGGGGTGCTTTGAAGGAGAAACAGCCATTTTTCTGAGGCCCTGCCTAAGACAAAAGGAAGCCTGGGAGGAATGTGGTTCAACCTTTGCTTGAGTTACTCTCATTTTGGGGGGAAGGGAAACCGAAAGGAAACACGTGGCCTTTTGGGGTCCCATTTTGAGACAAACCCACTAGGCAAATGGAGTAGCAGGGGGTCACTGGATTTCCCCAAATCCAAAGTTGATCCAGGCACTGGCGGCTTCCATTGAAACGAGAAAGCAACTTTTGAAGGTTCCAAAAAGGGAACGCCTGGTTGATTTTGATTGGGGGGTTTTCGTTCTCGGATTCAGACCGCTCTTGGATTGAACAGCCCCCTATCTCCTAGGAAGGTTCTACTTATAGATCCTGGATTAGCACTAGATCGACTAACCATGAATTCCTAACATAGAATTGCTCCTGGCCACACGAATCCAGCCGAGCTTGTACACACCCTTTTGCATACCCCTTGGGCAAATGAACCCAAAAGGCCTGCGGATGTTCATACCCCTCTCCCCAAAACGGGTATATACCGCTTATAAAGTGGCTTGGAAACCAGGGAAGCAAAGGGGTATGAACAAGCGGTATGTACTTCCACCTTTAGAACGGCATCGAAGTCCAAGACGATTCACAAGCTAGCGGCCATCAATCTTCTTGCCGTCGCCCTGCTTGTATGAATTCTTCAAGTCGCGCTCGTGCTCAAACTCTATGAATGCATATCCTGCGTCGCTTTGAGAGTAGAAATTCAAGCAAATGACAATTGCAGCGTCAGCCTCTTGGCTTCCCCTTCTGATCGTAGACCATGCGAACCTCTGGCAAAACAAGCAGTATCATGGTTGCTTCGAGTTGTAGAGCACGGGCGAGCCTTCTTGATACTTCCAAACACCTCAAACTCCCGCTTCAATTTCTTCTCAGTTGTGTCATAGCCTCAACTGCAGGAGATCTCGAAATCACATTTTCTTTTTAGGAGCAGTGCTCGAACTGCACGGCACCTGGTGCAGGCAGGAAGCTGATGCGACCAACAAACAGCGTCTTGAAGGGATCGCCGCTTGCATTTGGGTCCTGACGAGTATCCGTGGCATACAACCACAGGGATCCTTACATTATACACCTGAGCATTGCAATCTGTAAATGGTGGCTTCCCTTTATTTTGGTGTTGAAAAAGCAACATGTGTCAAATGGTTGCAACATTTGTATCTTTTAAGGAGCCCTGCGACTCACAAGCAGTCCTTGTGGGGATCATAGGCATCAATAATCTTCTTCTGAGCGTCCTTGTGCTCCTGAACCTTTCGCATGCCCAGATATTTGTGTGGCTTTCTTGATGGGTATCCCTTTTTCTGGTGGCTTTAAAGAAAAACCAAAAAGGACGCCAACCATTTTGGGGGGGGGGGCCGTTTCCAAAAAAAAAACGAGGAAGGTCTATCCATTCTGACGTTCTCAGCTTTTCTGCCCTGCTTCTCAACCCATTCGCTGAACCAGTGAAAAACAATGATGCCGAAACATAGGTGGCCTTTTGGAAAAATCGATGGCTCTGGTAAATGGAACAAAACTCATCTAAACCAGTGGAACCCATCTATTTTTAACCAGGCTCACCGATCAAAAGGACACCTATGTTCCAGCACAATATTTATTTGGCACTAACTACCTGGCACTTTTGCCACTCCCCGGCCTTCTCCCGGTGTCGCCGGGCTTTTCGCTCCAAGGGAGACTCCCAAGGCTCAATGGGTGGGGGTGGGTCCTCAACAGCACAGCCGCCTTTTCGCCGGCAGATTTTGGACCAAGCGCATGCAACGAAACGGTGCCGCCCAGTTGCACTGGAAAAGAACTCCACATACCTGGGGTTTTTTGCCCCCGGCCCACGTCTCCGTGCAACTGGCCGGTTTCCAAAATGCATTGTGCCGATGAAGCCTGCGATGTGTGGCAACATCCGACGGCAAACTCGGTTGCGAAGCTGCTCTGCACAGCCAGAGATCTTGAGTGGCGGCTTCTCGACGCAGGGTGGCAAGTGCTGTGGCGGCGGCCTCAGCCAGCGCAGCAGCCCATGACAACTAAGCAACGGAAAACTGAAACAAGGTAATGTTAGTGATGCGGGAGGTGTCGAGAGTGTTCATTCAATATTACTGGAACCATGAGTGCTTTCGCCAAGAGGTCGCGTGCATGCAGCATCACACACTCAAAGACTTGCTTTCGAGATCACGAAAGGACCAGCTTGATCACTGAAGCACTACGGGTCTTTGTTCCTGCTCAAATGAGAACAATGTCCATACTTCTTCATTCATGCTTGGCGTGACTGAAAAGACCTCATCGAACCGCAGGAATTGTCTGTTGCGCCACACAGATTTCCACCAGGCAACAGAAACCCGCACATGTTCCATCAGTCTAAAAACTACCAAACATACTGTGGATGGCCAAAATCCTGCACCACCAAAGAAACCCTGGAATGATGATTCCCAACAAACAATGATTTCCCATCTTTTCAAAGGGTGCTCTCAAGTTGGCTCTCTTGAGGGAACTCTTCTTGGCTAGTGTTCGAGTGTGATGCGTGACGCGAACGCAGCCGGCAGAAGTGCGCATGCGTTTCCACTGCAAGCAAGCGCTTTGACTGCCAAAGTACGGTGCAAGGAATTGGCCGTGGCTCAAAAAATGAAATCACCAAAATGGCACCTTACATGGAAAGAAAGAAACACAAGCTGCTTAACCCCACCACTTTAATCCTGCGCCACGCCCAAATGTCACAGCAAAACGCACAACTCCACGATGTCCCTCGCATCGAAACTTTGTTTTTGCGGAAAAAATGCGGGGGGGGGGGGGGGGACAAAAGAGGAAAAGAAACAAAAGGAGAAAAACAAAACAGTGATCCGGGGTCTCGGCCTGGGCGTGAAGAGCGCCAAAATGTGCGCCGGCAGTCCTTGAGCGGACATCTCCGGCCTAGCGAAAGCGACTGAGACCAGCAGGAAGTTCTACAGGAAGCTCGCCAAACTCCCACCAAAATCTGGAATTTGGTGTCCTGTAGAATATCCTGTACTTGGTTTCTTAGAGATTCAAGCGACTGCAACTTGCGGCTTGGCCTGCGGCCTCTATGGCCAGCGGCGCTCCCGCTTGACTGGCTTGGTTTGCTTGACCACTGGCTTTCTGTGTGATTTTTTTCGGCTGGCACATGCTTCACATCACGAGTTCTTGTACTTCCGAGATTATGTAGCTGCATTGCTCGCTCGGGCCATGCATGCAAGCACACAAGCATGTGCTGCAAAACATGCCAACTTCAAGGCAGAAACGCGTATTGAGTTGTTGCAATCATCACATGTGCAAGTTGCCACTTTTGTTTCTCCGAGCATAATCTAGATGGTAGGCACAAATTGTCCAGCTGTACGCAGCCATTGACAAATCTTCGCTGTGGTGACACGTGAGCTACAAAGAAACAAATTTCGCTCAGTGAGACGAAACGGCCAGCCTGACTGATCCTTTGGGCCGATATGTCTGACGTCCTCGGACAGGCTCACAAAAACAAATTGTGAGGACTTTGCAGGCATATGGCTGTGCCTTCAAAGCATGCACCAAATTTATACCTTGGATTATGGAGCCTGCGGTATGCCCCAGCTGTGTAATTTGAGCCACACCCACGCCAAGCGACATCGGCAAGAACATCAAAATTCACTGCAGCTCATCTTGCTGCGAGGTCTCGGAGGACTTCATCCACCAGTTCCTTGTCGACCCAATGATCCAAGGGTCGCGTTGATCCCTGGGCAGCCAAACACTCAAAACGACGTCCACCCGTCTGCACTTCGATCTTACAATCCCGCCAAGACATTAAGCCTAAAAAAAAAACTGTGAGAGCAAGCAACTTGCTCACTTCATCCGGGGTTATTGGCTGCTGACTGAATTGCCAGCCGTGAGTCCGCCATGCGTACTGCCAATGCCACCCGCTGTAGAGAAAATGGTCATTGGCCCTGGTGGAGAGCATTCTGGCAACCATGCTGAGCCTAACGTGTTCAGGCTGCCTGTCCCTGCTGCTGTCGGAAAGGAGGCGCTGTTCGCCCCCGCATTTGGACCAGCCAATTGTCCTGGTCGGGAGGCACAACTCACATCACGACCATGACTGTCAATGTTCAAGCACGATAAGCAATGAGAGGGCCAACAAAATACAAACCAACCACAAAATCTTCAATGGTAAAGCGCCAATTGCTTGATATGGCAGACGGCCATGTGTGATGTAATATGGCGCGCCATGGTGTGACATGGCGCAACGTTGTTGGCCAGCATTTGACGCTATTTGTTGGAAATGACACAACAGTGTACACTGCTCGATGTGCGATAAAGATATACTGGGAAAACGGTAAAGCTGTAAAGCTCCCAACGCGAAAAGACTCAGATGACATCCCCAACAGCATGAAACATATTTCTGCGCACTGCAGATTGGGCGGACCCCAAGGCGAAGCCGGCCCGCACAGATGCATGATCGCCGGAGTGCTCAAGCTTGCCTCTGTTTGCAAGCTTCGGACGCGATCAGAACTAACCGAGACACCTGGCTTGCAAACAGATGCAAGCCAGGGTCGCAAGTTTCGGACGCTGCCAACGACACCTGGCGCGCAGACAGAGGCAAGCTCCTGCGTTCCCGGAGATGGACTACCTGCTTCCCACCATCAACACGGACCACACGGACAATCCGGCAGGGAGCTCCGCAGGACACCCGCAGCCTCACGCGCCACTTGAGGGTGTTTGCCGGATTGCAACGTCAGAGCCCTTTTCGCCCCCAGAACTCGGAACCCCCCCACGCCTCTCTGGAACCTTCGGAAATCCCTCGCGCGCATCCCACCCAGGACCTCCTCGGAACCGCCCAACACAGCCCCGGAACTCGCCCCGTGCAACCGTTCTCAGAACTGCCCCGAAATCTCCAGAAGTTGGAGCCAGAACGCCTCCTCGGAGCCGCCCCGTGCACCTTCTGGAAACGGTTCCGGAGATTCCCAAATGTGGGATGGCCAGATGTTGTAAGCCTTGAAACTTTTTCTGGCCGCGCAAAATTTTGGAAACATTTTTACTAGTTTCCAACATCCGGCCACCCGTTCGGCGTTATTCCAAAGCTTCTAAAACTTCCAAAATCTCAATATCCGGGCAGTCCTAATAAAGGGCTTCTTACCCAGGCTTCTTGAGTTCCGGCGTTCATTCTGAAGTGTCCAAGGTTTCCAAAGTTTCCAAACTCCGGTCAACCCGCAGCTCCTTACAGAGCTTCTGATGAGTGCGCTGCCTCGTGAACACTTACAAGGCTTCCTTAATGGCAAGGAGATCGCTGATTCTGTTTGACTGTTGGGCTGCCAAAGATGGAGCGCTGTTCCGCCGTTGCGGCGTTGGACTGCCAACCCCGCGCCGACCCCGGTAGTCAGCACAGAATCTCCCGGGCGTGGTCGGTGCCGTTGGCAATTTCCCTGATGCGGGTGGCGCCAGTGGCAGCGGCCCACTGACGTTGGGCTCATGTTTGCGCCGCGCCCGCTGGTCCCTGTGGAAGTCCCGGAGGGCCCCCGCCAGCCAGAGCACCCTGGCCCGCAGGAGGCCTTGCCGAGGCCCATGTTTCGGAATGCCTGCCACAGGTCCTGCTGGAGCCAGGGATCCACTGCCGGTCTAAGTCCGGCTCCGCTGCCAGTGGGCAGAGTTCAAACTACAACAAACAAGAGAGATGGGCAATCCAACCACAACCAAGACGGGAAGCAACGCTTCTTTGTTCGAGCAGCTCAGGGCCTCCGGGGCATGTCGTGCATGTCGTGGGAAATCTATACAACTTTCACATGTGTGTGATTTGTGGTGCCAGGCAATTCAATGACAACCTGATGAAACGCAATGTTAAGTTGAGGACCGGTTGCTTGGCCGAGAGGTTCAAACCATGCCTGACAGGAGTGATCCAAGGACCAGGTTCGTGTCCTTGAATTCTTTGAAAGGCCTCAGAGCCAGCCATGACACCCCGATCTTCTGGCAAATTTTTGCCAAGACACGAAGGGCCCGACACCTGAACCAGGTGGAATTGTCTCGCAACGCAGCAGAAATCACTTTGCATCTCTTGGGCTGTCCGTTCTGCTACAAGCCTTTTTAACTTGTGGTGAAATGGCTGTGGGTCAAGGATAGGTCCCCAACATGGGTTGCCCTGGTAAATGAAGCCAAGAGCTAAAACCTGCATATCCTGGTGCTTTAATTCTGACCCATGCCCAAATGGAAATCATCTGAGTTTCCAACTAAATGGAAACCATGAGTTTCCAACTAAACCCGTTTTCTCTGTAGTAACTTTAAATGTCACTACACATTTGCAAAACCAACTCGTCAAGTCGGATGGGAACCGGACAAAAGCAGCGAGCTCGGCCTGGGAGGTGCCCACGCCCGCGGAGGGCCAGTCCGAGCCTTCCTCCTGCCTTGGGAATGTCCGTGCGGGTGAGGGAGGTCCGAAGGGTGAAATGAACGTGAGTCATGTTCAAAACCCAGTAGTAAATTGGTCTACCCAGAACCATGCTTCAAGAATTAAGAAGGCCGCCGCAGCTATTTGTGGTTGGGCCTTCATCTTGATTATGGCTCAAATGAACGTGGGGATTCCCTTTGTTGGAAACCACAAGGGGTGGTTGAATGGTCGAAAATGGGGTCATTCCATGTCTCACTCCATGCTAAGAACCAGCAAACGGAAAAAACACTCCGTGTCTTTGGCCCATTGGGTCCTGGTGCGCTTTCTAGGAATCATGAGTATAATGGAAATTGAGGGGTGGATGACCATCCCTCCGTCCTCGCTGGTGTTGGGCTTATTGCCGCAACACAGTATGGATGACCATCCCTGTTTGCCCCAAGTAGAGGGTCTTTTGGGGTACCCCCCAAAAGAATCCTGGCCAGGCCCCCCCCCCCCTCCCGGTACCCCTCGAGGGGGGGGGGCCGGGACCCCCCCCCTGGTAGAGCAAAGGCCATCCGGCCCCTGTAAAGCAAATCAAGATGCATGGCGCATGTCAATGTAAGAGCCCAAAGTATGCTCCCACGAGCCAAGCGTGAGTGGGAGCCAGGTCTAACCTGCAGTCTGGTCACCCCCCGTAAGCAGCCTGACACGGGCGCATCTCCGTCTCAAGGCGAATGCCAACACCGACACGTGCCTTGAACGCGAGATCTAGCTCAAGATGCTCGACTCTGGCTTGCAACAGGCTGTGCTTAGACTCCAGAAGCTGTCCAGCCATAATCTGCATCCTTGGTTAGTTGCAGCTGCCAGAAGAAAAATGACTTAAAAAGTCAAGTCAAAGACTCACACTGGCGAATAAAAGCTTTTGGTACAGTTGTACAGCTGCACGGTTTTATGGTTTACAGAACGTCGATCTAAAGAAGAGCTGCTCTTCTGACACCGTTTGCAGCTTAATCAAGGCTCACAACAAGCATGCCTTGTGACTAAAATGAGACCAAGACACTGTAATTCTGCCTTCGTGTTGCTCAGTGCAGATTGGTAGTGACGGATTTCAGCTTGCAGGTGTGCGTTCTGCCACCTGACAGCCAAATGTTCAGAGCAATGGGGCCAAAATGCATGCTTTGCATGCCAAGGCACTGCAAAAACAGAAGGGACGCTGACGAGTTTGCAGGCTTGACTTCAGGTTGGACTTCCTCGGACGGAAGAACCGATACCAACAGTTTTATGCCGCGGTCTCGATTCTGGTTCTGAGTGCGGGGCTGGCTGAGCTGTGCTCTGTCGGGCCTGCGGTGTGACGGTTTCCCAATATGTTCAAGTCCATCTCTGTTAGCCCATTTGGATCTGTGGTAAGCAGCAAGGTTCCTCTACGTAGTTTAGGTGAGCTTCCACAATAGCATTTTCTTCGAATCATTTTGTATGTCAGACGTCGCAAAGGACATTTTGATCAACCCCAGCTGTTACGATTTCATGGAACTTCCCCATCTCTTCCTTTATCTCTCTCCATATTGAAGCCCGATCAATCAACAAATAGCGATGCAAGAGAAGGGCCTCCTCCCCTCGCCTCATTCTCGGATCTAACGAGGGAAACTGGTGGAGGAAGGAATCACTCTCTTTATCCCTGTCATCTTAACTCGATCAACGCGTCTAGGCCGTGCAGTAAATAATAGAAGCGCGTTAAGGAAAGGCAGCATAGAGCAGGCGAGCCGGCTGGGCTGCCCTATCTCTCAAGCCTGTTTATTCTATCTTCCCCTGACATATTTTAGCTGTCTGTTGGTCATCATCAGTTGAGAATAAATAATGAAGATGGTGACCAAGAAAGAAACAAAAAAAGAGCGAGAGAGAGAGAAGCCAACTTTAGTTGACGGGCAATGCAAATAGTAAAAGCAGTTTGATGGCCTGTCTCTAATTCCATGCCCAACGTGCCAATAGTATTCCACGACAAGTATGCCATGCTAATATGACCCTTGAACAAAGGTTGTTTTTTCTCTGAGAGGCAAATCAAACACTGCTCAACGCAAAATTGTGTACCCAAAACACTGCAGAAATCCTCGCCCAATTTCAGCCCTCATGTGTCTTCTGTGCGTGAGAAGTCTATTCAAGATTAGACAGTTCAAACGGATTGCTTGCAGAAACATCTCTTGAGTTTGCAAGGACAGGGACTGCCGTTCCAAGTTCCAAAAGTGGGACCTGTTGCATTCAAAAAAAGGGGATGGAATCGGACGCTTAAAACGGTTCGCTGATTTGGGGTACTGCCTCAAACCATCAGGCAAACATGACACGAAAGTGTTGAGGTTGTTCGGATATTTGGCTCGAACACTTTGCGCAAATCCACCCAACACTCTTCGTCTGGAAGAACAGCAGGCCAACCTCAAACATGTAACACGATGTCTTGAGGGTCATTGTTTTGGACTGCTTGACGGATTGGGTTATTTCTTTACTAACCTCTTTACAACCCCTGGTATGGTAAGAAAAACAACATTGTTGTTTGCACCCACTAAAAATGAACAGAACCAAAAACACAAAAGAAGACACACACAAAACATGATCCAACAGTGACGCTTTCTGACTTGCGTTCTTGGCTGTTTTCTTGCCTGCAGCTGCACCCGCAGCGACTGAGACTCCGCTTTGGCTTGCATCATCTGCTCCTCCGCGACGGTCAACCTGCGGCGGCTCTTGTTGGGATTGTCCCTTACTAACCTTCATCTAGCTGGCGGTTTTGAGCAAGTGGCTCAAGTATTCCAGCTGCCTGTCAAGTCCGGCTGCCCCCAAATGCGTTCTGAACAAGTAGAAGCGTTCTGCAATGATCAATGAAAGAACTGGCATTGTCAGCAAGGGAACGTCAGGACATTGTGACCACAAACCCTAACAAAAGCTCCAAATGGCAGAAACGTCTGTTATGATCGCTGAACACAGATTTGATGCCGCAGCTCACTAAAAGGCATCATGGGAAACTTCCTTCTCCATTTTAACGAAGTCAGCTCACCCACTGATTTGTGTTGTCATCGAGACCTGCACCGAATCTTGGCTAAGAAATCTATCCGATTGGATGGATCGTTCAGAAGGTCCGCGAAGCGCGAGCATCATACAGACGAAATCCACCCAAAGCACCCTGGAATGATTCGATCCCCCTGATACCAACCAACGAACCGGCTTCAAGCATGGTTTCACTTCGTAGTGCGAACTGGATTTGGTCCATCGGCAACAACAAAACCAAGGAGTTGAAGGCATGAGATTCAGATGGCTGTGGTCAAAACCGTTCAAGGGGATCCCATTTTGGTTGGGATTGGTGAATTCAGCACCCATCTTAGGTTACCCATTTTAGTGGTTGGATGTTTAGTGGGGGCTAACCGATTTGGATTTTGATGGCCAGATCGCCGGTCCAGTGATCTGTGACGCTGGTTGCCCTGGTCTGGTGATTGCGTTCACTCGTCTGGATGTTGCCTCCCTGTTCAAACGCCCTTCACCCAAGCCATTTGGCAGGCACATCTTTCAAGACATGGGTGTGGGTCAACAAAACGGTACCCAAAATGGATCCCTGGTAAATGGAAACATGGACGAAAACCTGCGGTCCCCTGGTGGTTTCATTTTGACCCATACCCACATGAAAACGGAAAAGGCAGAGACAGGTCCCAACTTGGAGCCCGACTGCTGTTGCATGATGGTCAGGCCATTCCTGGTCTGCAGCAGCTCCTAAATGGGCAGACAGAAATCAGAAAACGGAACGAGCGAGACCTGCACTTGTTGCTTTGGCATGTGCAAATGCCCACAGTCTTCACAAATATGGCGAGCGTCCTCTTGAAGCTCCTGCACCGCCATCCTTGGCAGCAAAGCATACCCCCGAGACACGCATGCTTGTAGCTGTTCAGCATGTTGGCAGCGATATGCTCGCAAAACGTTGCGAGCTTCCGTTTAATATGTTTACAACAGCATTATTGCCATCCGCGTCAAACACAACAAGGGCAAATCTGAACCTAAGAAACAAAATCACGTTCAATATGTTCCTCTTGGTTGGGTCATGGAAGACAAACGGGGTGCACAACTTGCAATTTCAAATATATCGCGAGGATTTGTTCTTTTCGAGGTGCTGAAAGCATGGAATGTAGATTCCTTGTGCTGCCGGTTTGCGCTTGCAAACCTTAATTGTAAGAACTTTATTATGGCTTTGCGCGCTTCTTGAAGACAGAAGAACGGGGTCAGTACTATATATCCACAGAGCTTGCCAGACTCATGACCAAGTCTTCTCATGCTAAATACACACCAGCGAAAGACTCGAAACAAGCCAAGCCATAACACAGGGGCCTTTGGGAGCATCATGATACTGCTTGTTCTCCGCATGCACCAGTGCAAGTCGAAGCGACATGAACCTGACCGCGAGCTGTTGCAAGTTGAGCCACGGAACGGAATGGGTCAATAACCAATGCCAAGTGCTCGTAAATTGGATGAGCCCATGTGTACACGTACATTTCCGTGCAATTGTCCATGGGGCCACGTGGATGGGATGAAACGCACCACTGGCGATTAGCGCAAGGTACAATGGCATTGCCGCGTGCAGCCGAAGAAACACCATGTGCGCTGATATCAATGTTGCATATCTTCAAAGCACCTTCAATCTTGCCCGTCCTGTCACAGCAGCCTTCTTTCAGCATAGAGCCCAACATATGGCAGGGCAACATGGCAAAGTTCCAATGATGGATGACATGAGCCCTTCAGCAGGTGAGGCAGGTGGACTTTCCGGGTCTGAAGCCTCACAAAGTGGCAGCTCACGATCTTGCGATCAGGAATCTGCTTCTTCCGCAGATTCGCGTCTTCATCATTGGGAGACGCCGCCTGGGAATCGTTTCTCGGAGACTTGGGCCGCATGATTCAATGATCCGTCTCGGCTACTATCTGCTGTACATCTATACTGTATACACTTAAAGCTGAACCTCGGCTTTTCTTGTTGCTGATAGCTTCATGAGAGTTGAGCCAACCAGAAATACCCCTTGCCAAGTTCGATCCCATCAATCTGCCAAGTCTAACCCGGAAGACAGAGGCTCAGAGGCTCCACATTTAGTGCTGCTTAGTCGTGCAGCCTGTCGCTCCCCAAGCATGACAACTGGATGCCTGTGGCTGCTCAGCCAGAGCTCCAGCTTCCTTAAGAGGCTGGGGATGCAGTTCCTCGGATGCACGTTTCAATCCGACAAGATTCCATACAGGACGCTTAGTAGCAATGGGCTTCCGGGATTCAGCACATGTCGCGCTGCTATGATTGCGCGAGCTGCAAGATCACACACACACACCAAGCTGCCATGCTCCTTGCCACATAGTAGAACCTCAGAACCATCACCAGTCAATGAGGAGAATCCATTGATGCGGCCCCCTGACTGCCCGCTGTGCGCTGTGCCGCTAGCGCTGCTAGGGGGCTCCCCAGTCTGGGAATCGGAGCTGCCCAGCAGAAGCCGCAAGCCGCTTTGCTGCAGCTCTGCCTCGGGGCCGCAAGATGGACAGCTGGGGGGTCAAAATCCAAATCGGTTAGCCCGCAGTGAACATCCGATTCAATCCAACCACTAAAATAGGCTCTAAAATCGGTGGTGAATTCACCTACCAACCAAAATGGGATCCCAAAACGGTTTTGACCACCACAGCCAGCTGACAGCCCCCCCTCAGACCCCTCAGCTCGCCTCCACATCCGCGCTCAGTCTGCATCTTGCACTTCGAGATAGAATAATCCGGTTTTCAGCGGCCTTGCACGGTGAATCAGCTTCCATTTGCTCAAAAGCCCCCTGGACAAGAATAAAATATGTCCGTAGTGATTGATTTCCTTTAACACCAAAACGAGAAAAAAACGAGCATTCATTTCGGAAAATGGAAGGCTTCGGGTTTCCGTGAGCTTTCCATGCTGCGAGCCAGGGTACTACATCGCAAAGCAACTTTGCCTCAGGCTCTATGGTGCAAGGGCTGCAATGCGTCGAAGCCAGCAACGGGAGTAACTCACTCAAGCGAGAGTTGCCGTTTCCGCACTCTGCATCTAAGTCGCCTTTTGAAGCGTGTTACTGAAGAAACTGCTGTTGGGATACTGACGGTTGCCTGTAAGAATAGCTGGAACGCTAGTCTCCTCGGCGGACATCGGCATGAGAAAGCTGCAACGCACTCTCTGTTCATCCACCACTCATCGGCATATCAGCACAAAGTTCGAATATGAGTCTCCCCATGATCATCGGTTAGGGCACACGTTTGACAATTCAGCCCACCCTCCAATCACCGCCGGCAATATCAGACGAGAGTCTGTGTGAAGACCGATACTGATGCACATGGATGCCTGTCATCAAGAAGTTGAGCAATGTGACCATACCATGGCTGCTTATTGTCACTGTCTAGTAGCCCTCAAGCATCGCTGAGCGGTCCTTGTGTGTGATGTCCAGCATCTTTTGTGCCAAAAGTAGCAGCTTGTCCTTGGCTCACGCAATACCAGGTGCAAAAAGAGCATCGGGAAGACGATATTGCACAAGACATCATTCAGAAAACCCACATCTCCAGCCAGAGCGTCAGCATGGCGAGTATCGTCGCCTGTGCCCATAGCTACTGCCACATAGGAGCCTCACAAGAATAATTACTCTCAGCCCATGTCGCATCTGTCTTGCCCATCGGTGCAAGTACCATGAGCCAATGCTTGCCGGGGGACTGCCGAACATCTCCTCGGTACAAAGATGGGTGCGGGTCAAAATGAAACCACCATGAACCGCAGGTTTTAGTCCTTGGTTCCATTTATCAGGGTTTCATTTTGGGTACCTATTCGGTGGGGATGTATGTCCACCAATCACTCAGGGGGGTCCAACCGTTAAAAGTTAAAATTCATAGCCATATTAACATGAGGTTGGCAAAAACGGCGTAAGCACGAGGTAGCGGGCGAAACGACCTGTGCAGGCTTGAGTCCGTTCGTAGCACGTCGTACCTTGCACCGGTGCGTGTTCACATCACAGTAGGCATGGCATGAAAGCCGTGGACTCAATCCTTTGCCAAAGCACTTTGCGCTCAAAGCCTCGAACTCTTGAAACACCGGAGCCAAGCTCTCCGTCAAAACCTGCCAACTGCCAGGTGTTGAACACCAAAACGAAGAGACCAGGGTTCCACTTTTTGACCCCAAGAAACACTTCAACCTGGTTCTCCTTTAGGGGGGAATGAACCACCCGGTGCTCAAAAAGTGGAACCCTGAAAGAGGCAACGGCAGTCACCGCAGCGCAGGCCTTGGAATCCTGAGCAAGTCAACTTGGCTTCTCTCGGCATGAAACGACTTGGGCACCATTTGGGTGTGGGTCAAACTAGGGTAACCCCAACACGGGTTGCCCTGATAAATGAAAATATGGACCAAAGCCTGCAGTCCATATCTTGGTGGTGTAATTTTGACCCATACCCTTTTGGCGACCCATGGGTTCTAACAACTTGCTTCGATGGGATGTTACACACCTCATCCTTTGGTGCAAGCGATCCAAGCCCGCTAAAGAACACGCGGATCCATTCCCTAATCAGTGAACCGCAACTTAGTGCGGAACGACGCTGGCAAAGAGTGCAGAAGTGTCCGCAGGCCCTCGGAGAGCATTTCAACTTGAATCCATGTGAGCCGTGGTCCAAACTCCGTCCGCCTGGCCTATGGTTCCCTCAATAGGAACCATTGTACTTGGGTTGTTGTTGTTTTTCCGGATCCTTTAGCAGGTGGATGACCATCCCTGAACCGGTCTTTTGAACGCAGCTCAGTCCCTGCCTTCTATGAGGCCTCGTTCAACTTCTGGCAAGACCTGAAGCGGGGGACACCAATCTTCGGGCCTTCCGGCTATTCCCGCCTCCATGGTTCGCTGGGGAGTTGTCCCAGGAGTGGCCTCCTGTTTTGCGCCGAAACCGAGTTTGCACGGTTGACATTTGGCTGTGGGTCAAACATAGGTACCCATTTGGGAACCCTGCAAAATGGACACATGGACTAAAACCTGCAGTCCGCACCCATTTGCAGGCTCCTCCATGTTGGGAATGCCGGCCTGACGCAGTCACTGAGCCGCGCCGAGCTTCCGAGCTTCCAGCCTCTAACTTGTCCAAGGCGGTGAGCTTATAACCTGACAGGGAAGTACTGACAGAGACCCTGGCCTTGGGAAGCTCACATGGCCATGGTTCAAAAGCCCGTACCCCCAGTGAACATCCCAATCCCAACTAAAATAGACTAAAATGGGTAGTGCACCTACCCCAAAATGGTACCATTAGTTTTGACCACCGCCACATAGCAAATCAAACACAGATAACATTTGATTGGTATGCACGTGTTAAAGTCGTGGTCGTGGACGTTGTTTTCGTTTTTTGGGCGGGGAGCAGGTTGGGTGCGGCTTTGGGCAAGCGATTTGTGTGCACGGCCAATGATCAGGGTATGACGTGTCATAGCTTGGCTTTCACTTCTCTGCAACTGCTGTGTGCCAGTGCCAACCTGATTGTGGTTTAAGGCACTACGCCAACGCGAAGTGCGAGCTTCTGGGTTTTCTATCTACTAGCAAGCTTGAACGGCCTCTTCCAGTAGGACTGACAAGTGGCTCACACTGACTGGAGCAAAGACCAAGCAACATTCGGCAACAGCGCTTGACATTCAACCACGCCAGAATAGGAGAAGGCCCGGCTTGGATGGTGTGAAAGGCATACAGTTTGGCTCGGAAAAAAAGCCTACGTGGCTTCCAAAAGTTGCTTGGTGAGCCTCAGGCAAATTGCATAAACAAGAAACTCTCGGTACTGAGTACCATCCATGTGTCACCCATAGTTCTTCGCTTTATTCTTCTGGTGTCCATGCTCTATGTGACAAACACATGTCGAAGGAAGGTCTTCTGCCACATTTGTATCTCGCATATGATCCTCAGCTGCTGCCAAGCGTCTGAGGAGAGTATCACGCATCTTGAGGTGTGACTGACAAGGGCAGGTGGGTGCGTGAAGCAAGATCCAAAATGCACAAAGCAACACAATCTGTGGGCAATCACTGTGCCGTGGCACTGGGCCGAACATGCCACAGGACCAGAGTTACGCAGAACTAACTTGTGGTGCTCAGGGAATGAGGAATGGAATGACTGCTAGAAACCCATCCAACTGGCGGTTTCCTTTCGAACAGCCAAAGCCTGGATTCATTCAACCACCATTCCCTACTCGAACCGGCAAGCCAAGCCATGCGAACTCAATCTGGACATGGAGGCATTGGCGTATCGCCGGGCGCACGAAAAAAATGTCTGGCCTTCACTCTGGCAATCAGCTCTTGGCGGCAGAAAGGCTTGTGAATCCAGTCGGTGCAGCCCAGCTCATATCCTGTAAAAAGTGTCACTGGACTTGAGAAGCGGCTTGATTTTTGTTGCATCAAAGGCAAACAGCTCGAAGCTGGATCCGCGCAGAGAAATCAAGTGTTGTCTCATGAGCTATGAGTTGAGCTCAGCATCCTTTCACCACGGAGCTGGACTGATTCTTTGCCTGGGCCGGCAAATCTCTAGGCTCGTTCACTATGGTCGTCTCTCCAAGCGCCCGGAACAAAGCGGTTTGTTGGGAGAATAGCAAGCGGACAGAAGCTTCACAATGTGGCTCGGATGGACTGAGAGCTCGGCGGAAACCATGACCACCGGAAACTCTTGCAGGCTGCACTTCTTTTGGAGCGCTTGCAGCACGTCGAAGCCGCTGAGGCCAGGCATCATCAGATCCTCTGCGTGGCAGCGATTCGAAGCCAGCGAGTAGAAGCCCTCATGCTCATAACTCAAAGCTGGCCCTATGGGCAGAAGCCCAACAAAGCGGGCCAAGAAGGGCAATCAGTAGGTCAGGCCCTCAACAAGAAGTTGGAAAGTAGCGGAACCCGAGTGCCGAGATGCGAGCAGCATGAGCCGAGGGCGCGGGTTGTTTCCATCCAGGTACTCGAGGCACTCGGACCCATTCATACAGGCAACTACCCTTAGATCGCTGGTGGATAGGCGTGACGCTAGTCAGCTTTGGTCTGCAAATGGCATCAACGGCCAGGCTTCGGCTGTGCATCCAAGAGACTTGAAGCCGCACGGCTCCAATATCGATCTCATGACTTCTTGGTTCACAAAATCGTCATCCACCGACATGATCAAATTATCATCGTCGTCCTGATAACTTTTGATAAGAATCTCTTTCCGTCCACGAGGTTTCCCCTGCTTGACTACTAGTATCATACAACTGCAAGACACTCAACTGTGTCGCTAGACATTTCAAGCTGCTCGCACCCGTCCTCAAAGTATTGCATTGGCAGCCCCTCCTGCAATGTGCAACAACTTCACCGCTTTGCACAAATTACCCTTGAAGAGAAGCAAACAGGTGTGACGAGAATCCGTTGCAGTTTATCTGACTGACAATACTGCGGATGAACGAGGTCCTGCACCACCTAAGAAACCCTGGAATGATGATCCCTGGCAAGTACCAACAAAACAATGGTTCCCCATGATTTCAATCTGGTGCAGGGTTTCGTCCCTCGCTGGCCCGTCAAGATATCCAGGCCTTGAGAGAGGGCAGCGATGTTGCGGTACGGCTACCTGACGGCCAAAACTCGTGAGCTTTTGTGCAAGTTGCAACCGACATGGAGGGGGATCCTAGATCGCAGCTGGAAGCTACGGCAGTTAAAGCTGTGCTTACAACAACTGCAAAGCCTTCACGTCTGTGGCTATGCCCAGAGAGCAGCAGCTGCAATCAAGATGTGATGTATGTGCACGTGGATTGTTCATGCATGCGTGCAAAGGTGCAAAGAATAGGCTCACCCCGTCCCCATGATCCACGCGTCAGCGCCTCGACAATTGTAGCTCCAGCCATACTAAAGCAGTACCAAATTCACATGTATGTTCAACTGGGCCTCGGCAGAAAGCTCCTCTACTATAAATACTAAAGAAGTAAAACGGGCATTCAAAGTTCGGCTTAGCAGAAAGCTGCAATATTACAGGACTAGCGCAAACAAAACACTGTCCGCTGCTGTACTCAGCAAGTCTCACACGTCACCTCCGCCATTGCACATCAAGGCCTTGAGCCTATGCATTGCCCTGCACAGGAAAATAACGTTGCCGCGCTGTCACGCACAGGTATCACACTTCAGGTAAACACGTCGCACGGTTCCTTCTATTGTAACATGGCGGAGTTGTCAACAAGGAAAATTGCGGCCTTCCCACAAGCAACACAAGGAATGGCGCTCAACAGCAATTGGAAGGAATACACAAGTACCTGACAACACTCACACTACATGGCACTGATACAGGACACGAAGGTGACTGGCAGTTCAATACAAAGGTGAACTTGTCGCAGGCAGACACACCATCAAGAACACAGTGTCCAGTCCCAACAGAACAACTTGAGGACCACAGGAGAACGACCATCAGGATCAAGGATGGCGCAGCGACCACATTTGATGACAAGTATCAACCAATGGACAAGCCACGCCGAGCAACAAATCCGCCGACGACACAGGGCGTGTTGGACATAAGAAATGCTCCTTACCTCGGGGCACGGTTTCAGACTATTGCGGGGGGTGATTCCAACAGGGAAAGGGGGAAAAGATCTTAGGGGAAAAGGGAGAAGATCTCAGGAAAGGGAAAGGGCCTTAGGTGGGAGAGGGGAAAAAGATCTTAGGGAGGAAAAGGGAGAAGATCTCAGGAAGGGAAAAGGCCTTGGGAAAGGGGGAAAAGGCCTTGGGGGGGAAAGGAGGGAAAGGATCTCAACAGGGAAAGGGGGAAAAGATCTTAGGGGAAAAGGGAGAAGATCTCAGGGGGGGAAAAGGCCTTGGGGGGGAAAGGGGGGAAAGGATTTCAACAGGGAAAGGGGGGAAAAGATCTTAGGGAGGAAAAGGGGGAGAAGATCTCAGGGGGGGACGGGGGGAAAAAGATCTTAGAGTAACGTCGGCGGCCTGAGCCGGAGGCGTTAAATATGGAAAGGAGAAACAGTATTTAGAGGCTGCGACAACAGCAGCAACACAGACGCAACCTAAGGGCGTGCCGCAGAAGGTCACGCCACAAGTAATTCAGCCTAGTCACGCCACCACAGGCTCAGCTGGACAGGGGTTGCCACTTCCATCAGTACACCATGCAGGAGATTACTGGCACAAAGAAGGCCCATACCGGAAGCGAGTACAGCGTTCTACGCGCCGCCCCAGACATCAAACAGCTTCCACCTTGGAGACAAAAAAGGGCACAACCAATTGGAGAAGAACACGCTCCAAACTGGTAGAAGAGGAATGGACAACACAACCATCAAGACGTCAGACAAGCCTTGGGTAGGCTGGACAAACTGTGGAACATGAGGAAATACCAACACAACTACAGTCGGATGATGAGGAAGAGTAGCACAGCCACCAAAGCAACCAGCACCAACGTTACACAGCTACCGTACAGGAGTGGGTGCCCGATATGCGTGCCCGAATCAGCACAGCAACCAATCATACAGCTCGACTTCGGACACGTGAAAGGCACTGATGAGAGCAAAGTGCAGTCTGGGATGATCATGGCCATACAACTGACCAACAAGACACTGCTCTTTGATTTTGCCGTCAATCCCACAAGTAAAGTTTGCTTCACCTCAGTCAATTTTACTGATTGACTTGTCCTAGAAAGAGAAAAACGGTAAAAATAAATTGTCTGGCTGTGCTGCGCTGCTGCTTGTGTGCTCTCAAATCACTTCTGAAGCGCTGCATGTCGGTAAGAATGTTTGCTCTCGAATCACTTCTGCCACACTGACTTGTCGGCAAGATCCAAAATTGTTTTGTCGCTATGGCACTCACTTTGAAGTTTCTGAATCTGTAAGGGTCTGAGCGGCTGTGCGTGCTCAGGCCCCCTCACCACGGTTTCCCACACCACCAGTGCTAACCATGTTAATCAATTAGCTTGCTGATGCGCTAGATCCGGTGGAATCTGCTGCCCATTCAACCCATCCGCGGGCACAACCGGCCGCACAGGCTGGCCGGCGAAATCGGGCCGCGCAGGCTGGCCGGCGAAAGCGGGCTGGCCTGCAAACAAAGCCCCAGGCCCCCCGTACAGCAGCTGCAACAAAGCCGGAAGCAGCAACGTCAGCTCCACGCCACGAAGAAAGGCCCACCACGGGCTGGGCGGGGGCGAAGCCTGGGTGAACTGGGTGGCATTGTGGTCGGGGAGCTGCCCCGCATCCTGCAGCTGTCGCTGTGGAACGGGTGTGTCAAAAAAGGCTCGTTCCAGAGACAGCGCCAAATCATGTTCAGCATCAGCTCCTCGTCTTCTTCGGACTCCTCCGCCTTGCCCCCGGGCTTGGTCTCCTTGAGCTTCTTGTGCAAGTCGGCCTCCGCTTTGAGGAAGGCAGCCACCACACTCATCTCGTCCTCGCTTCCGGCCCACCGGCGACGGTTGACTGGGTCTTCCAAGCCGGTGAGTCGCCACGCGCTGGCCCAGTCGCCCATATCTAAAACATTCTGCGCCTTCCTGTTTTGACATGTCTGGGCAGCCGTGGGCCAGTTCGTAGGCAGCGGCGTCCATGTACAGATTCCGCTTTGCTGAGGTGAACTTCCCGAAGTTCTGACGCCTTAGCCAATCCTTGATGGTCCAAGGCTGACCACTCCCAGCTCTTCCACCACCTTCTTCTCGAAGGCCCGGATAACGGCCTGCGGCTCCCTTTCCACACGCCAATGGACCTGCTGGAGATTCTTGACCGCCTTCAAGCCCCCCTTGAGACCCGCGTCGTCGGAGCCGCTTTCCTCGTCGGAGCTGGAGCCACCGAGGGTGGCCAGAGAGCTTCGCCTGCGGGACTTCTTCTCGAGCATGGCCATCAAGAGGAGCGGTGTGACATCTGCGGGCGGGGCACCCCCAGCCAATGCCTGCCGCGCCAGGTCTTCGGCTTTTACCGTCTTCTTCTTCTTCTCTACTGCAGGCGGAGCTTGGGCCCCTGGGAGCAGATGCACCTTGCCGGCCTTTGTCTGCCGTGGAGCGGACGAAGAGGCCGCCTCGGAGTCGCCCTCGGCATCGGAGTCCTTGTTGCCCCAGGCAGCTCGAAGGCCCTGTAGCAGGTGCTGGAGCTCCTCTTGGCGGGTATGGGGCCTCTGGCTTCCTCACAGTCCAACCCTCCGAGGCTGTTGCCAGAACTCGAAGCTACCTGGGGCCTCTGGCCAGTGGCGCTCCAATTGGCGGGGGCCTCCCTTCGGGGCAGGTACAGCAACAAAAGCCAGCTTGCCGACAGGCTGTCCCTGCTCGGCCAAGCCGTCAGCCACGGCGCCCACACTGCACCCTAAATGCCCTCACACTGCCGAGCCAGACAACACAAAATCACCAAGCCTTTGGAGTGTTGCACAACACGGCCTGCCACCCGAAGGAAGTGCCCGTCACCAGATCGCACTAGAGCATAGCATTGCAATCCTAACTCCATGGTACCTTGAGATACAGACAGCTTGAACGATGCAAGCATCAACCCTGGGGCGCTCATCCCGACAATAACATGTTGCATCTTTTGGAAGCTCAGCTTTCCGGAATTGTACTTTGTTACTGTTATTGGGGAATGTGTGAAAGTAAATCTGCTTGAAGCGAAAACAAGTCTTACGTAAAACAAGTTCGGGAACCACTCCATGGGGCCGGAAGTTCCAATTTCCTCGTCTGCATGTTTCGGAATATAATAATAGAAACATGCTGTCACCGTCATTGTTGCATCGTTGCTGTGTGTGTGTGTGGGTGTGGGTGTGGGTGTGGGTGTGGGTGTGGGTGTGCGTGTGCGTGTGCGTGCGCGTGCGCGTGCGCGTGCGCGTGCGCGTGCGCGTGCGCGTGCGCGTGCGCGTGCGCGTGGGCGTGGGCGTGTGCGTGTGCGTGTGCGTGTGCGTGCGCGTGTGCGTGTGCGTGTGCGTGTGCGTGTGCGTGTGCGTGTGCGTGTGCGTGTGCGTGTGCGTGTGCGTGTGCGTGTGCGTGTGCGTGTGCGTGTGCGTGTGCGTGTGCGTGTGCGTGTGCGTGTGCGTGTGCGTGTGCGTGTGCGTGTGCGTGTGCGTGTGCGTGTGCGTGTGCGTGTGCGTGTGCGTGTGCGTGTGCGTGTGCGTGTGCGTGTGCGTGTGCGTGTGCGTGTGCGTGTGCGTGTGCGTGTGCGTGTGCGTGTGCGTGTGCGTGTGCGTGTGCGTGTGCGTGTGCGTGTGCGTGCGTGTGCGTGTGCGTGTGCGTGTGCGTGTGCGTGTGCGTGTGCGTGTGCGTGTGCGTGCGTGTGCGTGTGCGTGTGCGTGTGCGTGTGCGTGTGCGTGTGCGTGCGTGTGCGCGTGTGCGTGTGCGTGTGCGTGTGCGTGTGCGTGTGCGTGTGCGTGTGTGCGTGTGGTGAGTGTGTGTGTGTGTGTGTGTGTGTGTGTGTGTGTGTGTGTGTGTGTGTGTGTGTGTGTGTGTGTGTGTGTGTGTGTGTGTGTGTGTGTGTGTGTGTGTGTGTGTGTGTGTGTGTGTGTGTGTGTGTGTGTGTGTGTGTGTGTTTTCCAGAGAAATACTCGTTCCGTGTTGGATTGTGCACTTTGTTGTCTGCATTTGTCCACTGTTGGAACTGAAACATATTCATTTGTGAAGGGTTTTGCAGTTTGTTCGTGCGTTTGCTCCGTTTTACTGCTCAACAAAGAGGGGGTCACTATGTGTTTGTATAGATATATATATATATATATACACATGTATATATACATATGCATTATATAGAAAAAAAAATGGAAAAACAGTATGCATGCATGCGTAGACAAGTGGCCCCCACATATGCCTGCATTCAGGTTGAGCGTCTGCTTGGGGACGACTTGAATTCCTGAGGCATCGGTGGAAGCGGCGGCGGAGTTTAGCTCACTGACCGTTCTGGCCCTGAGTTGCACGTGTGTACACTCAGAGATCATATATCAGAATTAACTTGATCTTGCGCCCATGTGCTCAGAGATCATTTTCCAGAATTAACTTGAACCAACTACACCGGAAGGGGGCAACTATACCAACTATATCAACTATACCAACTATACCAACTATACCAACCATACCAACCATACCAACTATACCAACTTTGCCAACTTTGCCAACTATACCAACTATACCAACTAGAGGATGAAGAGCTGCCTGAGGATGAGGAAGATGACGATGATGATCAGCCTGGCAACGATCGTCCTGCTGATGATCAACCGCCAAGGCTCCAAAAGACGGAGAGCCGGGCCCAAGAAGGCCAAGCGGTCGTGGTCGGAGATGTTGGATCGCCCGACCAGGACCGTGTGGACAAGCGAGGAGCACCGCACTTTGGGCAGCCGCAGTGGATCAGGTCAAAGATCCTCTACGGATTGGGCCTCCTGCCGACGGAATGTTCGTGGCGGAGCTCGGCGGTGATTTTCAGGCTGCTAATGGAAGAGGAGGTCACCCACCGCGGGCTCAAGAAGCGCCTCAGTGAATATGTCCGCTACGGCAAATTGAGAGAGGCTGCTGGGTCGCGCGGGTGGCAGTCCGGAGCGCTTGCGTTGCGGTGCGGATAACCATCCGGGCAGGAAGTCATGCTTCCGGGATTCCGACGCAGCTATGAGCGCCAAACAGATGAGGACTGAAGATGAGGACCTGGAGCATCTCCGCACGTACACGCGTAAGACGGGGAAGCGTGGCGGAGCGAAGAAAAAGAGCAAAAAGGTTCGCAAGTCTACCACCAGAAGAGTCCCCGGCAAGACTGCCAATAAGTCCGCTCACGCCAAGAACGGGGATGGGGAGCCATGTGTCCCGTACCCGGTTGATGAGGTTGGATTTCAAGCTGCTCAAGCGATTAAGCAAACTGGTCAGGGCGCTGCTTGGATGATTGCGATTTGGATCACAGTTGTCACCTTGGTAGGGTCTGTTGCTGGTATGTGGTGGATTTCGAGGAAGGTCATGAACCAGAAGACCCACGCGAGTCATGGTAGCTCGGCGGCGGGTCCCCGTGAAGTTCGGGTTGAGGGGAGTCAGGGAACTCATGTGGTGCGTAAGAATGCCTTGGGAGAAGAGAGTTGCACATGTAGGAGCTTCCTTGACCATGGGTCCAAGCGTCGGCATATCCTTGCGGCCAGGAACCAATGGGCGACTGACGGAGATGCACCGGACCCTGATGGCACGGTGGTTCGTGGGTGGTCGGCCGGGCATGGTGGGTCATACCCCAAACCCGGTGAGAACAGCCCCCATTCCAAGCAACCTTACCAAGCTTTGCAGGACATTGGCACCCCTGAGTCTTCGGTAAAGCAGGTCAGGGGAGACCAGATGCCGGTTACTCCTCAAATTGCTATGAGCGTGAGTTGCCTTCACGATCTTGTTAACAAGGCCAAGTCACTTGGTATGTCAGCATCATCCGACCAGGTCGTCCAGCGCGGGCTCCGGAGAGGTTGGACGGAAGAAGGAGCAGCGAAACATGCAGGTTGAACTGCTGCAGGACTTCAGTGGAGTCAGTAGGATTGAAGGAGATAGGAGCCCCACCGAATGAGAGGAAGTCGGTTTTTGCCTTGGTGTTTTTTTTGGATGATGGTAGCCTGGTCAATGCCTTGACCAATTACCAGGGGCCTGCGCGGGTCATCTCAGACCGCTCTCAGACCCAGGGCGGAATGTCAAGCAGGTGTATGAAGAAGCTGGGCGCACTGTTGGGGTTGGCAAGGGAGTGAGCGGCCTACTGCACTCCAAGTCAGTCATGATTGGAGGTGATATCAGCGAGGACGGTGAGAGCATTGCACTGGTCGGATCATGCAATTTCACGTTGTCTTGTACCTTTGCTTCATTAGCATTGAGGTCCTTGGAATTGTCACTTGCATTGCAGGATTGCGTAGCTAAAATTCCTACCCTTGACACGGCCAATACTTTTGGCTCAAGTGAGCTATTGCGCACGGCTTTTAAGTCCTCTTACCCGGGCATCGCCATATCGCCTTGAAACACTTGCGCTAGGCTCTTTACTGGATCTACAACGAAACCGTGGAAAATCGGTTTGGCTTGCCGCTGCTTAGGGTTGAGTGTAAGGAAGGACCAGCCTTCAATACAATCCCAACTATACCAACCCTACATACTATACCAACTATACCAACTATACCAACTATACCAGCTATACCAACTATACCAACCATACCAACCATACCAACTATACCCACCTATACCAACCATACCAACTATACCAACTATACCAACCAACCATACCAACCAACCATGCCAGCCATGCCAGCCATGCCAGCCATGCCAACCATTCCAGCCAACGATGCCATGCATGCCAGCCATGCCAGCCATGCCAGCCATGCCAGCCATGCCAACCATGCCAACCATGCCAACCATGCCAACCATGCCAACCATGCCAACCATGCCAAGCATGCCAACCATGCCAACCATGCCAACCATACCAACTATACCAACCGTACCAACGATACCAACTATACCGACCATACCGACCATACCGACTATACCAACTATACCAACTATACCAACTATACCAACTATACCAACTATACCAACCATACCAACCATACCAACCATACCAACAATACCAACCACGCCAACCACACCAACCATACCAACCATACCAACCATACCAACCATACCAACCATACCAACTATACCGGCCATACCAAACATACCAACCATACCAACCATACCAACCATACCAACCATACCAACCATACCAACCATACCAACTATACCAACCATACCAACTATACCGACTATACCAACTATACCAACTATACCAACTATACCAACAACACCTCCTATCAGAACTGACAAGGGGTCATTCCAAGGAGCCGATCTGCGCAGATGGCCCCAGCCAGCAGGAAGGAGCCCCCCGTGGCTTCATGCCAGGTGCAGGGACCTGGCAACATCAACTGGTGCCATAGCTAATGTGGGACCTGCACCTAAGAAACCCAACAGAATGATTCGATTCCCCAACGTAAATACCAACAAACCATGGGTTCAACCATGGATTCAACGTGGTGAAATCAAGAAGTCCACTGGTGGGACAGCTACTGTGGATGGTTGCGAAATCCATTTCGCGCCACTTGGCAATCGTGGGACACCAGTGTTTGTTGGCATTTACAGGGGCATCATTGTTCCAGGATTTGTTAGGTGGTGCAAAATGGATTTCGTCCATCCACATGACTGACTCCGGGTGGGAATGAACCGGAAGAGGATTCCCTTCCCATCAACATGGAACCTGACTTTCGGGGTGCTGGAAGACCATTTTTCTTTTACAGACCCCCGTGTCAGGTTCCATGTTGATTGGCAGGGCAAAGGGGAACCACAATATACTCAACTAGTGTTCTTTCTTGGGAGGGGGGATGGCTTTTGTCGGGGTCATTCCATTTCTCATTCCCTCGAAGCAGCAAGAAAAAGGCACTGAGTGGCAGGATGCAACATGCCGCGGCGGCAATGATTTTAGCACTGGCGTCGGCTTCCTCAGTGCTGGCTAGGTTGGGTTCGTTGCAATCGACACTCGAGACACCCATAAAGTGTCCCAGAACGCTTTTGCAAAAGCCATTGCATCAACCGGTACCTGAAATGAAGCAATCAGAATTCTAGGGGTTGATTCGCCTGTTTCTGTGGCCGCTTTCCCCGGGTGTCCGGAGGTTTTCTGGAAAGATTCGGATCCCTGGAAGGAATGGAAACGGAAGGTACCCCTGGAAGAATGCACGTTGCCCCGATGCTGCCAGCATGCTCCTTGACCAGCTGACTCTCGCTGACTGCGGGGCAGAGTTACCTCGCACGCCATGAGATCTCTGGCCAACCCATGGAACGACCAAATGGGTGTGGCTCAAAAATAGGGCTCCCAAATTGGAGCCCTAGCAAGTGGAAAACCAAAACCTGCGTAACCCCAGCTGTTTATTTTTGAGCCACACCCAAATATCAACTGTCCACCAATTAGGCAAGCGGCAGTGACTACTGTGCCCTTGCTCCCTGATGGCTTGATCTCGCATCCTCAGAGTGGTACTGCGGCGCATTTACGGCAACGTTGACCCTTTGCCACACTGAGAGCACGACGGCCACTGTGTATTCGTACAACTTCTCGCACGATCGCGAGGCCAAGACCGATACCATCATACTTGCCTTCAAAGAAGCCAAACACGACAAGAGAGTAATGTTGACAACATAGTAACCAACGGTTTAGTGGGGAATTCTCACTTTTGGAGGGGCCCCCACCCCCTACTCATAAACTATAAACTGGGGTTGATTCATATGGGTTAACACGGATTAGCAGTTTGTCCAGTTGTCAGCAAGCTGCGGCTTTCAGAGGAATCCTCCTGCTGGAAGGCATCCAGCATGCCTGAAGTCTTGCTGCCATAAGAGATGCAAACAGACTGCAGCCCATAGGTGGCCTTTTGGAAAAATAGATGGGTTTCCCTAGCAAATAGAACAAAACCCATGTAAACCAGTGCGACCTCAAGTCTTTAACCAGGCTCACCTAAAAAGGACACCTATGCTGCAGCCCTTCAGCACTGGCAGACAAGCTCTGTAAACTGAGCCAAGGTACCCTGAACGCTCTCTGGCTTGATTCCAATTCCTGCGCACGCATGTTCTCGGGTCACAAGGTCCACAGTTCACAAAGATGACTCAGGGCGCAGGAATGCCCTCATAGCACAGGAGCTTCGGCTGGTGAAAAGCGAGTTGCCCAAGCGAACTCAGGTGGAGCACTAGCATTCCGCGACCGGCGCAAGGAGCCGAGGGCTTACAGCAAGCAGCAAGTCTCCTGTGTCTCTGACGGAGATGATCGCTGAATCGTTCTGAGGATCCTCCCTCACAGAAAGGCAAACCTGGTCAGATCCCGTGGGCAACTTTCTGCGAACCTCTGAAGCTCTGAATGAGGAACGTTCAGTCGGCCACTTTCTGCGTCTGACCCATGAGATGAATGGTGGAGCTGGCGATGTTTTTCCGATCTTGCCAGGCAGCTTCCCCTTCCGCCGTGAACTTCAAAGCCTCAATGGAAGCTTGGCACCACATGGGGGCGAGAGGTTTCACCAACAGAATGGTTTTTTCGGGAAACCTGGCTTCTTTGTGAGGGGATCTGCAAATGGGGTCGCCATTTTGATAAGCCCCATGCAGCTAATGTCTCAACGAGATGGTGTCTGCTCACGCAGCTGCATTCACATCGAAGCTTGCGCTGTTGGAGCCACACTGTGAAGCTGAGGCGCATTCGTCACAATCTGGCTCAGCATCTGCTGCACAGCTGGTGAATCAGCAGAAATGGTGACGTGTTCAAGATCTGTCTTCAGATTCACCTGCGATGCGATGAGAGGTCCCGCTGGAGCTGCACTGGAGATGTGTGCTCATCAATGCACCTTGTCCCTCTTCAGAGGCTTTCCTCTCTTGTCTTTGAAGGACTCCGACTTAGTGACAACATCCTTGGCCAACGCCTGAGTGCAAGTCAACAGCAGCCTGAAGAGTCAAGTGGTTCTGTGCAGCTTGAAGGCAGCCAAATCCAAGACCTCGTCTTTCCTCTTCGCTGAGCGCACTGGTTCTTCGGCCAAATTCCTGGGACTGGCTGAAAATCTGGCGGGACGCAAACACCATAGTCGCTCCAAGAGTCCAATAGTCCATCATGTTCGTGGCCAGGTCCAACACGCGCTCTGCCTTAATCAAAACACTGAGCTCTGCTCTTTGCCTTGAACTCGTGCGCGTTTGCTCATGCTGGTTTACTGCGTGCAAAGATGCAAGCTTGAGCTCACGACAAGTTGCACGCATTTTATCCAATCAATCCGGCTGACCGGCGTGTGTCTGTAAATGTGTGTGTGTGTGTGCGGGTGGGTGTGGGTGTGGGTGTGGATGTGGGTGTGGGTGTGGGTGTGGGTGTGGGTGAGGGTGCGAGTGCAGGTGCGGATGTGAGTGCAAATGAGGGTGCGTGCGTGCGTGCGTGTAAGTGTGTTTGTTCATGTTGTGCTTGTGCGTGTGCGTGTGCGTGCACGTTCGGGTGTGTGTGTGTGTGTGTGTGTGTGTGTGTGTGTGTGTGTGTGTGTGTGTGTGTGTGTGTGTGTGTGTGTGTGTGAGTGTGTGTGTGTGTGTGTGTGTGTGTGTGTGTGTGTGTGTGTGTGTGTGTGTGTGTGTGTGTGTGTGTGTGTGTGTGTGTGTGTGTGTGTGTGTGTGTGTGTGTGTGTGTGTGTGTGTGTGTGTGTGTGTGTGTGTGTGTGTGTGTGTGTGTGTGTGTGTGTGTGTGTGTGTGTGTGTGTGTGTGTGTGTGTGTGTGTGTGTGTGTGTGTGTGTGTGTGGTGTGTGTGTGTGTGTGTGTGTGTGTGTGTGTGTGTGTGTGTGTGTGTGTGTGTGTGTGTGTGTGTGTGTGTGTGTGTGTGTGTGTGTGTGTGTGTGTGTGTGTGTGTGTGTGTGTGTGTGTGTGTGTGTGTGTGTGTGTGTGTGTGTGTGTGTGTGTGTGTGTGTGTGTGTGTGTGTGTGTGTGTGTGTGTGTGTGTGTGTGTGTGTGTGTGTGTGTGTGTGTGTGTGTGTGTGTGTGTGTGTGTGTGTGTGTGTGTGTGTGTGTGTGTGTGTGTGTGTGTGTGTGTGTGTGTGTGTGTGTGTGTGTGTGTGTGTGTGTGTGTGTGTGTGTGTGTGTGTGTGTGTGTGTGTGTGTGTGTGTGTGTGTGTGTGTGTGTGTGTGTGTGTGTGTGTGTGTGTGTGTGTGTGTGTGTGTGTGTGTGTGTGTGTGTGTGTGTGTGTGTGTGTGTGTGTGTGTGTGTGTGTGTGTGTGTGTGTGTGTGTGTGTGTGTGTGTGTGTGTGTGTGTGTGTGTGTGTGTGTGTGTGTGTGTGTGTGTGTGTGTGTGTGTGTGTGTGTGTGTGTGTGTGTGTGTGTGTGTGTGTGTGTGTGTGTGCGTGTGTGTGTGTGTGTGTGTGAAGCGTCCTGGAGCACGGACGGAAATTCCACATTGCAGGGGGACTGGAGCCGATTTGCCTATCCAGTCCAATGAAGCTACGGCATTTCGGTGGATACCGGATCTGATCAATCCGGCGTACCTGCCTATTTCCTGACCCTCTTTCCTGATTCTTTTTGCGGTTTCTGTTTGTCGCTGTTGCTTCCTGTTCGGTGTCGATGTTGTGACCTGTTGATTTGCATTTGCATTCAAGCATTTTTACTGACTGCGTTTTGCATCTCGGCTAGTGAAGCCTCTCGAGATAAGTGTGTTTACCCACGGCCTGTCCGACATGGCGCTGTGGGCTGGACTCGCCATATGCGGGAGCCCCCTGCGAGGGGAAGACCGTTCAAGTGTTCAAGTTCAAGCTGCAGTTCAGTTCAGCGCGTTTGACCACGATCAAGGCTGCAGCTTGAGGTCTTAAGGTATTCCGCACCCAAATGGTGCTCTGCTGGTTTCATGCGCCTGCACTGCCTGCACTGCCTGCCTTTGAAGCAAGGCTGCACCCACGAGGTTTCAGGCTCCTAAGCTTCATGCGCCAGTGACGAGTTGGTCATACACCAACTCTGCAATTCGTGGCGTTCATGGAAGCTTTCGTCTCGGATGAGTTCAGTTCAGATTCATCGGCATAGCCACATGAGCCACATGAGGCACTTTCATGAGGCCACTTGACAGGCACCTCTGAGAACCCCTGTGTGCTCGCATGCATTTCTGTGAAAACTTTTGCCGTTGCCGCGGGGTTTTGGCGGTCCCCTGGTGGAATTCCCTCTGTTTGGTTTCGATTCGCAGGTTGAAGTTGGCTCGCATGCATTTGCACCATTGACGCATTTTTGCCGCAGTTGTGGTTTTGTTTTCACCCCTTTCCAACCTTCTCTCTCCCTTGCGAGATGGCTGGACACCAGCTCTATGACATGATGCATTCGCTCCTGCACAGCATTGCGACCGGCACCGCGTCCGGCTCACCAGGCAATTGTGGACCGAACTTGCAGCTGTCATCCCAGATGACGCAGCCCATGAACCTTGTACCGTCGCCCAACTCGCAGACGGCATCCTTCACACCTTTCCCCATGATGCCCTACGGCGGCCTCTCGAATTTTGGCAACCCGATGGCCATGATGCCCTACGGTGGCCCTCCCAATTACGGCAACTTGGCACCTGGCACCATCATGCCTTTTATGACTCAGAGCAGCATGCCATCTTCACTGCCCGAGCCTCAGCCGGCGCGCGCGCCCGAAGCTGCCGCTGCGGCTCCTGCCGCTACCTCCTCAACCAACCACCCTCCCCCGGACACTCGGCACCCTCCCCACTCTCGCAGATCCCGTTCCCGCCACAGACAGCACCGACACTCCCACTCCCACACCAGCCACCATCGCAGGCACAACAAGTCGCACCGACGACACGACACCCGACGATCCCGCAGCTACAGCAGGTCACGTTCCCTTTCCCGACACTTCCACCACTCCCGACGTGCACACCACTCCACTGTCTCCCTCCGCTCCCGCTCCCCCCGACACAGGTCCCACCATCGACACTCCCCTGCACCCAGAGCCACGACTTCGCACCGACCCACTCACACTACTCATGATTCCACCTCCTGGCGCACTTCCGGGAAGGACTCCTGGCGCACTTCCGGGAAGGATCCCAACAAGTCTCAATGGTCCTCCTCACACTGGCGGAACCAATCGTGGGGATACCCACCACAGAACAAAAACCGCTGGGACATGCACCACCACGGCGCCAGCCACACCGGCCACCGAAACAACCAGGACAAACGATCGTCCTGGTCACTGCAGCACCATGGGCAGCAACCCCACCCCACTTCCCGCACCGGCCACCACAACACTAGCTTGCCCCCTCACCCAGCACCTGCGGCGGCCTTCACTTCCACTCCCCCTCCCCCTCCCCGACCCACGCCGGCTACTCCTCACCCTCCCCAACCCCCCTTCGACAACACCGGTGATTTGGATCCCCCTCCATCGGAGGCGGACATCAATGCCACCACCACTTCCGACAACCGGTGGCTTGATCTATGGAGAAACGTCATGGACACGGCCAAGACTGACCCGCTGCGAGTTCCCACGCCTAGGGAGTTGGGGGAGCTGGACCCGCTTCCAGCCTTGGACATCTCCAGGGTGGAACAGACTAAGGCCATTTTGATGGACCTGGACCCTGCTTTGCCACCTTCACATGCCGATCTCCTCGCGGAATGCTGGGAACTGCGAACCATGGACACGGATGATCCCATACCGTTCGATCCCAGCTTCTACCACCTCTTGGGACGGGAATCACACGGCATGGTGTTCGCAACCACTTGGTTTCCCCGACCTCATCCTTGGCCAGTTGCTGGCGGAGACCCGGAAGCTGGATCCGGCACGGCCTCCCATCACGCTGTCATGTATGTGCACGGCACCACCCCGGATCGAGTGCGCCGCATGTGCCATGAGAACATGATCCGACCCGCTGCTTGGAGGCCCGAGAACCATGACTACCCGAGCTTTGGATGCTACGCTCAGGCCACCCCCACGGCATGCACGCCCGACACGCTCGGCCAGCTCTTGCAGAACTTTACAATCGGAAAGTCTCAACTCGGCGCCATCGCTTTTGGGGAACTACGCTCCATCAATCAGCACAAAATCCTCGAATCCGGGGGAAGCCACGAGGATCAACACAACGTGCGGCGCCACTTCGCATGCCGCCGAGGCAAAAAGTGGTGCCTTCACTCCAAGTTTGCGATGCTGAGAGGCATCGCGCTGCAGCGCCCGGCTTAGCGGGGCGCAAGTGTACCATCTTCCACCCAACCAGGAAAAGAATTGGTGCACTGTTTGATCGCCTTTTTTCTTTGCTTTGCTGTTCTGCCTTTCTGCGACCGTTTTCTCGCCTTGTGACCTTACCCGCTTGATTCCGCTCACCAGCTTTTTGGTTCGAACTTTTCCTTTTCCCCCGTGTTTTTCGCATGGCTTTCCAACCCCCTCGAGGTTTGGTTCCGATGCTCCAAAGGCAAAACTTACCACCGCAGCCTTCGCCCACGGCATCCCATCATCATGGCATCATGTACGGCAACAACATGGCCGGAAACCCGTGCGGGGCCCTGTCCGGACCTTCCTACGGATGCTCTTCCACGACATGGACACCGCCAACTACACATCCGACTCCCTGTCAGACCTACGGCCAACCTAGTCCCCATTTCCCACCACACCCCGGCCCTCGTCCTCCCTCCTTTGGCGGCTCTCTCCCCCCCCCTCCCGGCGGCAACCCCTTTCCCCCCCCTCCCCCCGGCAACTTCACCCGCCCTCCACCTTCCCCCTCCCCCTCCACCGCCTCGCAAACCAAACCTCCCCCGGCACTTCGACCCGTCCACTCAGTCCCAACACCAGCCGAGTTCAACCCTGGCGACGATCACTACGACACCACCCGCGTCGCGGGGTACGACCTGCCCAAGGTCATAACGCACACCGCGTTTACTCGGCAAATGGGCATCGAGGGACAAGACATCGCTCGCGTCCCCCTCCTCCACTTCATGCACGAACAGTGGAACAGTTGGTGGTTGCGTCACCTCGCCCACGGAGGCGAAGTCCGCATCGTTGTCGCAAAGTCGATGCCGGAATCAGTGTTTGCTGCTGGACTACTCAGCCAAATCCGACAACGGCACCTCGACCTGGACGCCCTCGCCCTCCATGTAGCCACGCAGGAGGGCGCCTCGACCACCAAACCAGCAGCCATGAAGCTACTCACCA